CCCGACAGGTTAGTATTGGACATCAACAGAGGAAGCGACAGCGAACTAGGCAGCAGCACCAGCAGCTCCATGTCGTTCATGGGGATGTTCCACTTCTGGAGGTTGTTGGTGCTGAGCGACGTGCTGGTCATGTGGTTGGGCACCTGGTCCGAGCTTTCAGGCTCCGAGAGCTCGTTGCTTCGGTTGAGCATGTTGCGCACGTCTTGGATGATGTCGTCGACGGGGAAAGTGGTGTAGATGTACCGGTCGGTGGGGCAATCCATCTCTATAACGCCGTTGATGAGATCACGCTCAAACACCCGCCGGTCCACGTACAAGGACACTTTTTTGTCTGTGGGCACAATGTAGATTTTCATATCGCTCTTGTAGCGGGGCCTGGCCACCACTTTTTTGATGAAGAGGTTGTTTGGGGTCTGGCCCTCGCGTCCTAGCGAAGCAACCATGTCTTCCATGAACTCTCGGTCGTCCACAAGCCTGGTGTCGCCTGGTTTGGCGCATTCTAGCTTGAGCAAGACGGAGCCGTCGCTGGTATTGGAAGACGAACGGGTCACTCTGACGAGAGAAAACGTTCTGGTGCCGAAAAGCGACATCACGGCGGTATCGAGGTTGTTGAACGTCGTGACCATGCCCGGTCTGGAGTCGTCGCTTTCGATGCCCTCGGAAACAGGCGTGGTAGGCCCACGGTGCTCCTTGTCAACCTGGAACGATTTGAGCACCTTGGAGGAAACCCCAGCCAAATTGACCAAGTTGTTGTCGATGAGACGCACCCGCTTCAGGATGGCCTTGCGGGGCCCAAGCAGGTGCTTCCCAAGCAAATGAGAGTAGTCGGACGGGTTGGAGTAGTCGGCGTAGCCTGCGTAGCCGTTGGAGGAGGAGTCGGACTGGTTGTCGCCGCCGTCCAGGCCGTTGGAGTCGGAGTTTTTCGAGTCCATGTCGTCTGGTGGAACGCTGGAGTCTACGTTGTTTCTGGTGCCGTTGCCGTTGTCCAACGAGAAGGCCAGGCCGTTGGAGGACGTCAGGTTCAGCCTGGTGTCTGGCCAGTCGTACAGGTAGCTGCCATTACCATTAGAGTGGCCGTTGGAATGACCATTGGAATGGCCATTTCCATGGTTAGACCCGTTTTTTGGCCTCCGACCACGACCCAAACGGTCATCCTTGAGCTCCAGGGAAATGTCCTTCCCCGTGAGAAGCTGCTTCTCGTTGTCAAACGCAACGTGAACAACGGTATTCCTTCCAGCAGTATGCGGAGTAAGCTGGCGAAACAATTCATACACAGAAGGACACAATATAAGCCGTACACGGAGGCCCGCCTCCAACAGCTTGAGATGGAGTTTTGAGGAGCCCAGCTCGGGCGTGAAGTTGGCGCCCTGCCGCTTGGAGCCCAGCTTGTGTCTTAGCGCTATGTCCACAAGCTTGCGTGCTTTCAAAAGCAGCGGATGCACTTTCGACCGGGGTAGCAGTTTCAGCACCCGGTACAGTTTGGACGAGCCGGACGAGATGGAGTCCAGCGTCAGCGGCAGCTTGGAGCCCAGCTTGCTCAGTTCCTCGGACCCAGGCATCAGCTGGTCTGTTTGAGAAGGAGGAGGAGGCTGGCTCATGGTGGCCTCGCTGGCGTCCTCTGAGTTTAGAAGATCTAGGATTCCTAGCATCTTGGGGACATGCAGCCTTCTAGGGTAGGGCCTAGTAGGGTAGGGCCTAGGAGTAGGGTAGGGCCTAGGAGTAGGCTAGGAAAAGGGAGATTCTTCTAGCAACTATACAGAAACTGCTTGCAGAGACTGAGTAGAGGGAAGGAGGATTGGGTTACCAGGGATTGGTTTGTAGATATGGGGAACTTCGAGGAAGTTGTGGATGAAGTTGTGGATTCGTTGATGGACTTCGAAGTTGATGGATTTGTGGATTCGTGGATCAGTCTTGTTCAGTTGGTGAATCAAAGGAGGGCAATGGATTGGTCCCGGAAACAGTGAAATGGTGGAAGGTCCCGAAAGCTGCGGAGCAAGAAAGGTATTTAAAGGATACGCCACAAAAAATCTAGAATGCAGCAGGACCAGAAAAGCCAGGTGCTTATGTCAGTCGGTTGTTTGACATGCCTTTTGGTTTCTGTACAATCCAAAAAACGACGGTGCTGGAAGCAGGATGGGCTCTCCCTCTGTATGGAGGCCATTTTTTCTGAGACATGCATGGCGTTATAAGGCGCTCCTGCACACAGCTGGAACAGGCAGCCCGCGCAGCGACCCTCCTGCGGCCGCACGACACACCGCCCTAACTACCGCACGGTATTATTTTTTAATCCCCCCAGCAACTAACTAACCGCACTGGCTTCGTGCATATTTCTGTCTCACTGAATTCCGAAATGGAACTCCGCCCACATGAGCGACACTCCCGACGCACCACCACATTATTGTAATTGACGAAAAAAAAAAAACACAATGGGGGTAAAATAACCTCAGCATAAACGACGCTTCTGCGCATCGGGCTAACTTCGAAAAAAAAGTCGCGCCTATAGCGCTGCAGACACCGCCACGTCCCTGCTAGTACTTACTTGCTGCTTTTTGCCTCGGCATCTCGAGTAAATTTTGTGGTATCCTGCGTCGTAGCGTTTCCAATTTGGTATTCCTCCTTTTTAGAAGTACTTTATCTTGGGGCCCGCCTTTCGGCTGTTATAGCACATTCCACAGTTTTTTCCATTTTCTGTCGAGCAGAGGTGGCTAGTAGTGTCGCGCCATGTCGACGCAGCCTTATTTCGTCACCACACATCGCGTGCAGGCGTGATGTCTCACCTTTGCGTAAGCTTGCTGCCCGCCTGGCATTGTTCCACATGTCACGGATCTACAGCGTCCATTGATGTATTCGTAGAAACCACATATCTTGACAAAATATCTGCCCTTCCAAAGAACCCTCTCACGCCGCATCGCTTATGCCTCCTAACGTTTTTACTCCATCTCGCTTTGTTGCTGGATGGCCGGCCTGTATACGGCACCCCCGGCACTTGGTGCCGGATTTGTCTTATCGCTTTTTTCACTGGCCACTGAGCAATTGCTCATACCCCGGCTGCATCCGGCAGGGCCCCCTTCGCTTGCTGTGGCTAGTGAGATTTGTTTTTGTTTTTTTGTCAATGCCAATTTCTCGCCTCTCAAAACTATGGGTGTGTCCCCTTGCTTCGCTTGTTTCTTCTCTGCTATTGTTTCTGTATGGTCCGTCTGCGCTCTGCACTCGCCACACCGTACCGGCGCGCACTAGCCACATCTATCTTCATGTCTCACCTGTCAGATCGCTCGCTTCCGCGCACTAGCCACAACGGTCCCCCTCTGCGGCACAGCGCACTAGCCACACTCGTATTTCTGCAACTGCCGAATATTTCCCATTCCATGTTTTACACCTACTTTTGCCGGCACTTTTATGCCTGCAGCTTTTTTTTTTTTTTATTGCAGGCACCCCCATCGGTCTATTGCTGGTCCTACATGCTTGCCCCGCTACTTTTGCTGGATTGCACGTTCCTTCTTTAAAAAATGCCCAATTGCTACAAAAACCTCTCTTCAGTACGTCTCTTGTATTTTGGTAGTCCAGATTCATCGAGTTCTAGAAGTTCTGGATGCACTGGCCCGGCGCTAGTCGCTAGTATAAGCAGCCCACGTATAAACCTAGATGCACCACTAACACAAATGCGCCAAAACATACAATTTAGCTTGCGCTTCGGCACGTAAAGCCCCTCATTCCGAAGCTCTCGTCACAGTCGGCGCCCAACACACTAGCCTCATTTCAAATTTTGCGAAATTGGGCAACTTTTTGCGATTTCTGGCTCCACCGCCTCAGCAGCAGCCCAACAATGCCCGTCAAAGCACACGTACGTTCCCGAGCCCTGTTCCTTTCGTCTATCTCGCTGAAATCAGCCACACGAGGCTCCTCCGGGCTGTTGCTACGCCGCAAAACACCATCGACACTGGCCACGCATTTAAGCGCCAAACAAGAAAACGACATTCCTCCACCGCAATATACCTCGGATCTAACGGCAGAGCATACCGGCCGGCCCTGTGGCGCAACACCGGCATGAAGCAGGGCTCGTGGTGCTTATTCTGCTTTTCCACAAAGGTCTGTTGCTGTGGTCTGCGTGAAATCGTCCTAATGGGTGGTCTGGAAGTGAACCCTGCGGCAAAGTTGATCGGCAAAAGCAGGGCCAGGTGGGCAGGTTAAGGCCAGGTGGTCACCTTGTGGTAAGCTGAGTGGTTATGTAGAATGGAGGAATAGGCAGCTTGGCGTGGGTTAAGCTTGGTGTGAAAGCCTGGGGTGCTAAAGGTCAAGGCGGGCCTGGTGTCTCGAAGCGGGTATCCTGAATTAATGCAACGTGAATAGCACGTCTGTTGTTTTGTGCCTCGAGACGCCGGGCCGTGTTGATTGGTCAATTGCTCATGTCTCTAAAGCCTATCTCCAGCGTGTAGTCTATCTCCAGAGCATGCAACCTAGAGTCTGAAGCTTATCACCAGAATATGGTCCATAAATCGTAACAAGTAGGTCTCGGATCGAAACCCAAATTTGACTTCTCTCTCATTAAATGCCATAGCTGTCACGACACTAAAAGTTCAGACCCTGGTTGATGTTACGGTCACGAACACCCAACTCGCCATCGAAGAAATCGTCACCATCGCCCTTTTCGCCCTTTCTCCAGAAAGTCCAGCCGCTCTCGCGGCCTCTGCTTCCTCTCTTTTTGATCAAAAACACAAGCGCTGCAATGGCAAGAAGAATAGCTCCTCCAACACCTACAACCACACCAACGACGATCTTGTTGGTCTGACTCAAGCCGCCGCCGCTGTCGCTTTCTCTATTAGTAGCGCTGGCGGTGGAATCTCCGTTGGACGTGTAGATCGACGTCTGAGTGACAATCACCGTAGACCCGTTTTGAACCGAGTCAAACGTCGTGGTCCGGCGCTGGTTGGTGTCGGTGAGCTCCAGACGCGTGCTGAAGGAGGACGTGTCGGAGTCCATGGAGGTTGTCGAGGGTGTTTCCGATGACGTTGTTTCAGAATCGGATGTGGTTTCCAGACTCTCCCACATTGTGCTGTTTGGGTTGTTCAGGGACGTCGTTTCCCACCATTCGGGCGTGGACGATGTCGTGGGCGAGTCGAATGTCGTTGTTTCGGACGACGTGCTGGACGTGGTGGGCCATTCTTGTGTTGATGATGACGTCGAAGACGAGGTAGGTGAAAACGACGATGACGACGACGATGATGACGTGGAGGAGGGCCACGTGAAACTGGACGATGACGATGACGATGACGAAAACGACGAGCTGGATGACGACGACGACTCAGAGCTCGAGGTCACGGAACTCGGAGGTTCAAAGGATGTTTGGAACGAGCTTGAACTGGTGCTACTCTGCCACCAGGGCAACAGGGAAGTGTCTCTTTTTTCGATTTTGGCAGGTGGAATCATCAGCCGAGCCACCGCCTTGGCCTTAGCGGCCGTGGGTTCGTAGAATATAAGGAATAGTCCCGTCAACACTACCAACAGGTAGATCAATGGGCGAATCATGACAATGCGATGGGCTATTTTGATGGGGGAAACACGAATCGATAGGGAATTTGCAGGGGATTCAGGTCAGGCGTGGGGGTTAAAGAAAGACTGACGCCGGGAGATAAAGGCTTGCCGGAGGCTGAACAGGCAAGGTAGAGAGGATTTTTTTTCTTCGCCTCGCTGCACCGGAGTGTGTTGGTCACGTGACTGGATATGAAACAGCGGTAATTCAGGGGGTTAGGGGCGTCCAAATACCTCAAAACTTTTACACAATGAAAAACCAGCGTCCTTAAGTATGCTGGCTAATTTTGGTGGAGATCTGCTGCGTGGTCCCCTCTCTGACCTTCACCAAACGTTTCGGGGCCAACGGTGCGGTCTATTTTTGGATGCGGCGCGGCGCATAAAGCGTGGACCAAAAACACAGGTCCAAGCCACGAGACATAAGCGATTGAGAGACCACGCACCACGATATTTTTTAAGCATCCCCAGGTTTTGAGAGATAAGAGAGATAATGAGAGAGTTTGGATTTGTCCCCTTTCGAGCCTCCAAAATCCAAAAACAATCCCTCAGCCGTGGGGGCTTGGTCGCGCTGGTCTAGGCATTCCCCGTCTCGGGAGCGTTTCAAGGGAGTGACCAGTAAACATTGACTTGTGACGATGTGGGCACTAAATACGGTGAGGCAAAGAGGGGTGTGGTTTTTCAGGAGTCAGGCACGTGGATGTCTGTGCCTGGATATTTCTGGGCACTCGGCGGAGCCAATGTGTCAAGGGAGGGTGAAAGATTTTGGTGGTTTTTGGTTTTGGTGGGTTCTTTTCTTAGGGATGTCTGGGTAATCGGATTGGCTATACTCTTCGGTTATGGCGATCTGCAGACGCATTGTGCATTTTCCGCTGACGCTTTCGCGTACCTGGCAGGCACTGAAGATCTTGTGATACGATGGTGATACGGTGGATGTTTTTGATTGATGGTTTTGTAGGCGATTGTGCTGTTAATATGTAGAAAAAGGTCGCTATGGATTGGTGAAAACTGAAGGCTAGACAGGCACTGGTTTCGCTGGATTATGGGATCAGAGCGTGCCAGATGAGGCAATTGCGGTATCGGGGATAGTTTGGCTAAATTTCGGAAGATCGAAGCGTTGTGGAATGTGTTAGTCTGTTTAGGAAAGAGTTTACGGGCGCCGTTGTGGTTGAAAACATCGAGGGGCAGGCCACCTAGCTGGATTTCGTTCTATGGAGGTTGGACATTTTCAGCTTTGAGGCAATAAGGGTTTTTGAAGCCTTAAGCTATTGGTAGGTTTTCGACGTATGGTATGTTGACTGTGTTGAGCCTGTGTTGAGCCCTTCAACTGGTAGTAACGATTCTCACCCAAAACCACTCACCCTCCACCACTCACCATCAATTCGGACAAGCACAGCTTCTTTGATGTGTCATTTTGAAGAACATCGTAGTCTTACATGGCAGTGACATTAGCTCAATGGATTGGCCTCAAAAATATTGAATTCCTTGATAGACTAATTGATAGCTTTCCAGCCAGTGAGAACGGACCATGCTGATCCCACTAAACACTACTAGTTCACTACCACCATGTACTTTGCATTACACTCCTGGGCAATTCAAAAAAAGCATCCTGACCTCCAAATCGCCTTTTCCTCGAAACCTCCCTTTTTCAGCTGGCTGCAAAAAACACCATCTCAAAACGCATCACCTACAATTCCCCAAAACTCCACCCAAAAACGTCCATCAAATAACAATAGACAGCCTCCTAATCGCTTTTCTCTTTCGCCTCTCTCTTGTGGGAAAACCGACACCAGTAAAAAACCCATCTCCCACCTCCGAGCCCTTATCCGTGTCGGCACGGTCGCGGTACAAAACCCAAAAGTGGAAATACACCCGGTAGACACAAAATGTGTCAAAAAAGACGCCAAAAAATGTGTCAATTTTCATACTCACAAAGACCACGCCCAAAATGCCAAGACAAACGGCTGAGCATTTTCTCGCCTTCGCCAAAGCCCACCCACGTGAACCTAAGCCTGACGACCCAGATTCTGAAAATTGCACCCATATCTATCGCATCTCGGACCTGAACCGACACCCGAGGGCATCCGAGATGGCCTTCGTTTGGTTATATGTAGGAGGGACGATGCTTTTCCACGTCAATTCAGAAAAGCGATTTTGAATTAAAACTTAAAAACATCACCAACGGCTTTCTATTAATTAAAAGTCCCCTCCATCAACACCCCCAAGGGTAGCCCGTTTATTGTGCTCGGCGGCTCGGCGATAGTGGTGCGGCGTGTGCAGGACGCACACATCTACAAGATTCAACCTCACCTCAAATCTTCCACCATCAACCCACTTTTCTTTTCATGGCCCTAACTTTCCGCGAACAGCTTGCGGGTTTTCCCGTGCGCCAGATGCTAGTGGTGTCGCTCATCCGTTTCTCCGAGCCCCTAGCCTTCACGTCGCTTTTCCCATACCTTTACTTCATGATTCGAGATTTCCAGATAGCGCCTACAGAACAGGAGATCTCCAAGTACCTGGGCTACTTGGCGCTGAGTTTTGCGTTTTGCCAGTTTCTCTGTGCCGTCCAGTGGGGCAAGATGCTGAACAGGGTTGGCAGAAAACCCGTGTTGCTATTTGGCCTTTTTGGCACGTCCTTATCGCTTTTGCTTTTTGGCTTCAGCACAAACTACTACATGGCATTGGGCGCCCGAAGCCTCGCTGGGTGCTTGAACGGTAACATTGCTGTTTTGAGAACGATGATTGGCGAGATTTGTGTGGAAAGAAAGCACCAGGCCTTGGGGTTCAGTACTCTTCCGTTGCTTTTCAACTTTGGTTCAGTCATTGGCCCTTTGGTCGGTGGATCTTACCTTTTGACAAGGCCTAGTCCGCACTCGCCGTATGAAAAAGCCGTGGACGACACGCCGTCTGCTTTGCTTTCCTCGTCGTTCGCTAAAGGAATCGACAAATTCCGCTCCAAGCACCCCTATGCGCTTTCAAACATCGTCGTCTGCGGCTTCCTCTGGTTCAGTTTCATCGTGGGCTTTCTTTTCCTCGAGGAAACAAACGAGGACGTTTGCAAGAAACGCGATATCGGCTTGGAAATCGGCGACTCCATCTTGTACTTCGTTTTCGGCAGAAAAAGGCCCCTCAGACCGTGGCACAACGGCTACTCAGACCCTGAACAGTTCTCGCCAGAGCAAATCCAACAAGAAGGAATTCAGAGGGAAAGAGCCGGCTCTACAGGACTGGGAATCCTGCCTTTCCTGTCCAGACAGATTCTGAGATCCTCCCTGGCTGTTGCAGAAGACCACAACGATACCTCCGTTAGCAGTCAGAGACCTTCTGAAAACACCCCCTTGCTCGACTCCAGCGACTCCCTCAGCGACAACATCGACAATGCCGTTCAGGAAATCGTCGAAGAAGGCGAGATCATTGAGCCCTACCTCTCCAGAAAAACGTCCCGTTCCATGTCAAACGCCATTGTTCGTCGCTACTCGCTGGCGCTGTCGTACATTCCGAAAAGAGAGCCCAGAGCTCTTACTCCCCAGGTCATTACTGTCATTTTGTCAAACTGCATCATCTCCTTGCACAGCATCGCCTACAACGAGTTTCTCCCTGTGTTTTTAGCAGGCCGTTTCCAGAGAGACAAATTACAATTTCCTTTCCGCATTGTGGGCGGTTTCGGCTTGGATTCCAGCTACATCGGTACCTTATTCTCGTCTACGGGTATTATGGGCATGTTGATTGTTTTGATCATTTTCCCATGGATCGACCGCCGCCTCGGCACCATCGAGGGGTTCCGTCTTTCCCTCCTGTTCTTCCCCATCGTCTATGCAGCAGTGCCGTTGGCTCTTTTCACCCAGAACAAGTACAACGCTTCTTTCCCAGAATGGCTAACCCCCATTATCCTTTATGGCCTCACCTCCTTGAAAACCCTTGCCTCCGCTACCGGAATGCCCCAAGTGATGCTTCTAAACCACCGAGCTGCTGCCAAGCAGCACCGTGCTTACGTCAATTCCTTAACTATGAGCATGTTGGCCCTTGCAAGGTGCATAGGCCCCATCGTATTCGGGTGGCTTATGACGCTCGGAGATAACTGGCAGATCGGATGGCTCAACTGGTGGCTGATGTCCGGATTGGCGCTTTTTGGGCTTTTCCAGCTGTTTGCTATGCGTGACTACGAGGACTAAGAAAAAGGTGTGGCGGTTTTTGCAGCCAATATATTGCCCTTTGTGTTAATTAGCGCGCCGATTGTGTCATATTGACGTTTTGGCGTCCTATGTGCAGGCCCCGCTTCACGCACAGACCCGGTTTAGTCACAGCGGGGCTCTTCTCGACTGTTTGAAAATTCCGTTCTACTCATCTCATATCCATCCCACCTTTTTATACCACTTTTGCATCTTGGGAACCACTGAAATCCAAAAAGTCCTTCCCACTTTCCCCCACACACTCCCTTGATTCCCCCACCCTCGAGCTTATCGTTCCTGCAATCTTATCTACACTATGGTCATGTCCAGAGAATTGACCAAGGGCTTTCCCTTTCGCCAAATGGTGATTGTGTGTTTGATCCGATTTTCCGAACCCATAGCCTTCACGTCCTTGTTTCCCTATGTCTATTTCATGATCCGAGACTTCAACATCGTGGATGACCCCACAGAAATATCAAAGTACACTGGCTACATGGGAGCCTCTTTTGCATTTGCCCAGTTTCTCTGCTGCATCCACTGGGGCCGGCTCTCCGACCGGATTGGCCGAAAACCGGTTCTTCTCCTCGGTTTGTGCGGTACAATGGTGTCGCTTTTGATATTCGGCTTCTCCACCAACTTCTATATGGCCATCACGGCCCGTTCGCTAATGGGTGCTTTGAACGGAAACGTGCCTGTTTTGCAGACCATGGTTGGTGAGTTGGTCACCGAAAGAAGACACCAGTCCATGGCGTTTTCGTGTCTTCCGCTTCTATGGAACGTCGGCTGCGTTCTAGGTCCCGCTATCGGTGGATCCAAGTACTTGACAAGACCGAAGATGACTTCAGAAGTAGACGCTTCTGGTGCCTACGACCGCTTTGTTTCCAAGCATCCATACGCCATGTCAAATATCGTCGTTGCAGGACTTTTGATGTTCAGCTTCATCATGGGTTTTCTCTTTTTGGAGGAAACGCAGCCACAGGCGAAGAAGAAGCACGATTACGGCTTGGCCATTGGAGACTGGATCCTAACTTCCATTGGTTTGACACCTCTGGCTCGTTCTGTGGCCAAGACCCGGAGAAACGAGCCCACAGAAACCACCCCATTGAACCCCAGAGACATCTACGAATCCGTGGACGATGACGTGATCGACGACAACGACGACGAGTCCATCAATTCCGATTACAGGCCGTTGACCAGAAGATCGTCGCTTGCCATTGTTCGTCGTTATTCCAACAACTCGCTTGCCAGAACCACCACCAACCAGTCTGTCCTTGACGAAACAAAGAACATTTTCAAAGCGTTCGCCGACAAGAACATCCTCAGCAACAAGGTCCGTGGCACCATTCTCGCCTACTTCTGTGTCTCCTTCCACTGTCTTGTGCATTCTGAGTTTTTGCCAGTTTTTCTAGCTGGTCGATTCCAGCCAGACCTGCTCCAGTTCCCATGGCACATGAAGGGCGGATTATCGTGGGAAACAAGCGACATTGGCTTCTTGCTTTCCACCACGGGCTTTGCCGGCTGTTTCATAATCATTGTCGTCTTCCCCACGCTTGACAGGTTCATGCGGAACATCGACGTTTTCCGCCTAGCATCGCTTCTTTTCCCATTCTGCTACTTTTTGCTTCCGTACCTCGTGTACACCAAGCCTGAAGCCCTGAGCGGCTTTCCCTCCTGGTTCTCCACAGCAGGTATCTACACCTGTGCCTCGGTGCAAACGTTTGCAGCTGCTCTTTCGTTTCCTCAGATGGTGATTTTGGTTTACCGTGCCACAGTCCCCAAGCATCGTGCTTTCGTCAATGCTACCTCAATTAGTGCCTCTGCTTTGGCCAGATGTGTGGCGCCATTGGTCTGGGGAGGCCTTATGTCGTTTTTCGACAGGAGAGGCGTGGCTCAGGTTTCGTGGAATATCCTCACGGTGATTGCCATTTTGACGTCTGTGTTGGCGTTCCAATTAGACGAGTATGACGAGGATTTAGACGAAAGCGAGGAGGTGTAAAGCACAAAAGCACCGATTCTTCGATGCAGCCGCCGTTCAGGTCCAGACTCCGGCAGATCGGGCGGTTTGTTGCTTGAGCAAGTTGGACAATTGAGAAGAAGCCTTTTCACAAGCTCACCGAGGCTCGTACATACTAGCCTAATAGAATGCCTCAGGTGAGAGGATTGTGAAGAGAGAGGTAATTTTATCTTGCTGTCAATTTTTGTTCAGTCGGCACGAAATGTCTGTTTTCAGGAATGCATCATTCAGCAACCGCCGCAACGAAGCACGGCTGATGTATAACGGTGTAAATAGACTTTTGAAAAAGGGGAGCTTGAAAAACACAGATTTTCCGAAAACCCTGGAAACTTCAAAAGTCCTTCTTTTGCGTCTCCAGGCCCAATTGGCTGGCTCCGTAAATCGGCAAATCCATGGACAATAGCAAATACCAGTGTAGATACTTCTCAATTTTTTCATTCATAAGCCTTCCCGAGCCTTGCTTTGACGTCATATACGCCGGCCAATGCGGCGAACAATTCGGTGCACCCAAACAAATTTTACATTTTCTTCAACTTCAAATAAGATTCTAAAAGATTTCAAAATTTTAAAAATCTCCTTTAAATATGAACCTCCAATTTTCCAGGCCAAAGACCATGCAGCAAGTCATGGGTCCTACATGGAGGGGCACGGCTCAGCCAGGGTATGATAGATCTCGTGGGTGCTGTGTGCAGTACGATACTGGTCCCGTGCCAAGAGCTCCCCTCCAGGAATTTATAAATTACTTACCACTTTCTTCCTCGACACCATGAATCTCGATTTAGCGAAACGTGTCTACTACTACAACAACTACAATAGAAACACCGGCTGGAACAGATGGAGATGGCTTCTCTGGCTCATCCTCATACCCATCTTCTTCATCATTCTCTTTGCCTTCTGTTGCATGAAGAAGAGAAGAAGAAACAATGTGGTTTCCAACCAGCCTTACTACAAGGAGAACTACGCTCCTAACAACTACCAGCAGGGTAACTACGGCGGCGGTGTTCCCCCACCTCCTCCTCCCCAGCCTCAGGGTGGTTACGGCGGTGGATACCAGCAAGGCTACCAGGCTGGATACGGTGGCGGCGGAATGGACCAGGGCTTCAACAACCAGGGCTATGGCGGTGGCCAGGGCTACAGCAACGACTTCAACCAGAACTACCAGCAGGCCGGCAGCTCAGACGCCCCTCCAGCTCCTCCAGATTATGCTCCTCCCCTGGAGCCTCCTAAGGGATACACCAAGTAAGGCAGAGGCCCCTAACCGGTGACTTAATTCTGACTGTGGATTGGTGCAGCTCGGACGAAGCTGCACGGGAATTGCTGAGTTGCAGGTTCCGCCCTTCGTCTGACGATATCGCCGAAAAACACGAGGCTTCCCGAAATCCGGTCCGTCTGCTACTGTTTGATTTTCCTCAGGACTTGGACCACCACCCCCGCTGGCTCAGATGCTACGCTGCTCCAGAGACAGCTTTCTCACGTTACGCATATAAGCTACGCCCGTTACGCATGTAAGCTTCCCCGTTAGATCTCCACGATCTGGCTCATCCCGCTCGCAGCCAGCTTTTTTATACCGTCTAATGAATTATGTATTTTAAACCTTGTGGCATCGGATCAGGATCCGTTTGCTTGGCACAGATAATCACCGGTCCGATATCACGGGATTCGGTGCCGAATTAACCGAGCCCTGACGTAGACTAGCTATGTATAAGGAAGGAGTGAATTGAATGATTTGTTTGGGGAAATTGTTGACTATTGCAATTCCTGGCGTTTGTTTGGCCCTGACCTCCTGGGTCCAGAACCAACGCTGCTTGACATCAACCAAAGGACTATCAAGAACAACGGGACTCAGTCAAAAAAGCCAGAGCTAGAACTAGCTTCAAACGGCTTGGGTATAAAAGAACCACCGCTCCAGCTTTCAGATCCACTTGGAGCTACAAATTCACTGCTAAATTGGTCCAACGGGCTCACACCTCTGAAATCAGCATCGCTCCAGGAATTCATGTCTCCGTTTGTGGATGTAGCCGTCAGCTCGTAGGACGAGACGTTGCTTACGTGATCAAACCGCTTGGACCACACGTCGAAGTTTCGAAGATCCATGTAGTTTTCGTTTTCAATGTAGTGTCTTCCAACGACAACGTACTGATATAGCCGCTCGTCAAACTCACACAAAGTATAGTTGTCCCTAAACCACACAACGTAGTCTTTCCACACGTTCTGCTCAAAGCACCAGAACTTGAAGTATATACAAAGAACGGCGTAGACGTACAAGAAGTGCATGGCGAAAGGCTCTTTTGCTCTGACGTGTGGAATGAGCTGTGGTCCCACCATCGGGAGCCATTTGTATAGGAAAACGGGGTAGTTGAACTTGACGGAAATGGAGCACGCCTTGTCGAACAACATGAGTGCTTCCTTCATGTCTCCAATAAAGGAGCTCACCGTCAGGTCGATTTGCAAGAAACTGTACTTCTGCAAGTGCTCATTGAGCTGGTCATTCACATCCTCCACAAGCTTGACCTTCTGCCGAAACACAAACTGCAACTCGTCCATGAAGAAAAGCTCGCCTATATCGGAAGCCCTGAGCTCATCCAAATTACCCACAATCAACGTCTTCATGCCAGCGGCAATACTAAGCATATCCGGTTTGGGCTCCTCGCCAGGCTCGGGAAAGTGCACTAGCGGAAGCATTTTCCACGGATGTAGCCCTATAAAGCTGTACATGAGGTAGCTGGTGATTGTAGCATCGTTAAGGCTTTCTGCTCTTTCCTGGCGAGAGAGATTGGGATCCAGAAGCTGCTGGACCGCCTCGTGGGTGCCACTAACAGCATGGGTGAAAAACTCCGAAGCATGGCGAAAAAGGTTGATGTCGTCGCCCAGATCCATCATGTAGTCATCAGCAAAAAGCCGCTGCACCTCGAACGTATCGCTGCTGGCCTCGAGCGTTTTGGCCACCTCCGTGGGGTCCATATTCTCCTGAATAAGCCGTTCCATGCCCAAAACTGGCATGATATTGAGACACCCCATGGCTAGTATAGCCAGTCGGATGGACGGTGAGGATGTCACGTATTGCGGCACGACCACCTCCCACACGATGCTGTGGCGTTTGTTGACGTTGTAGGTAAGGAAAGGAACGCAGATGTCGTTGAAGAAACGGAGAACTCGTAGTTCAAACCGCAGTAGCCCTAGGATATTGGCTGTGGAGCTGAGGATAATGTCAAAGGTGAATTTGCGGTGTTGGCCAAACGCGTCGTCGAGATCGTATTCTATACCGTTAAGCGACGTCAAATTCGAAGATGTGACCTTCAGAAGCGGGCCGTTCATGGCCGTCTGGAAGTTATCAGGATACACACATCGTCTTCCTCGGTGGGAGCAGTACTCACACGTTGGCCTGGCCTCGTTGCACTGGGGTTAGATAATTCCTAAGGAGATTGAAAAGAAACATACTTTGATCTTTAGTCGCTTGCAGCTGAGACAGCCTTGTCGAGATACCTTCTTGGATCCAGAGGGCATGTGGTTCGCACCGATAAGAGTTGATGTGGGGAGGTATGTAGGTGAAGTTTGGGAAACCTATGTTTTTGAAAATTGTGTTTTATGTTGTTGGATTGTGATCAGGGGCCGCTTGGATTTGGTAGTTTTGGTCCAAGGCCCTCAGTGTGTGAAAGCCTCTGGAGGCTGATATTAGGTTGTAGGTCATGCAGCTTCCTGGAAATTGACTTTGAGGGGGCTCTTCAGATTATACAATGTGCTCATTCGGTGATTGCTTGATTTTGGTTCATGGCGAGATTTCGGTTTGGTCATCGATGGTCGTTTATTCCATGGTGGTATTGTCAGGGTCCGAGTCTACTTAGGGAGCAGGGTAGACGTCCAGGGTTCACCAATAGCATTTTGATTTTGAACGAAATCGATATATTTCTGATTTCCTGGATCATAAAGCTCTTCAGATTTCATTTATTTATTCAGAATTTCCCGGTGCACCGCTGAATTGATGGTCGCTATTTGCACCATTTTGCAATACCTCACTCATATTCGTAAAACACCAACTGTGGCACTCATCTTGAAAAACTTGAAAATCCAAAAACAATTCCAATACACAACTCAAATGAACATACTATAATGCTACAGTCCCTTAAAGCCTTTTCTTACGCTAAGGAACCTCCCTACGATACACCCCCCTCCACTTGCTAATTCCATGAACCGACAAGAACAAACCATCAAACAATACCGCTACGGCTGAAGGACCCCTTCAGATCAGACTTGGCATCTCCACAATCGTGACAGACCCCGTGTCCCCACATACTCCTGAGCTCTTGGCTCGTCTACAAGTAGCACTTTTGCGATTCCCGATATATTAAAGTAAAAAAAGTTCCCGTCGTATAAAATAAAAAAACAAGTGATATAAAAAAAAGGTTTGGTGTAATAGACAATGTGTTCGTATTATAGGTGTGTCTGGCCCGGGCCCACCGCAATCCACCAGCTCGGAAAAACCAGCCAATCGTAGAGGGCAAAACGGTGCCCCCCAAAAAGGCCCCCATCTCCGCAGACTCAATTCGTGGTTCTTAATTAATCATTATGCCACAGGGGCGGAAAAGGCGGCACAAAATTTCACAGGGCAAAGAGGGTATCATGGTCCATAGGGAATTGGCGGTCATAGTCAAAGCCGATAATAGCTAAGTGGGTGGGCAGACACGAGAAACTGGCTTAGAATCTCTGGTTGGACTTCTTAGCCTTGAGCTTCTTTTGAAGGAGCACGGCGAAGATGGCGATGGCGGCCAAACCGACCAACACGAAGACAAGAATGACACCTGCTGGAAGCATTTCTGGATTTGAGGAAGAAAGTTGTGGGAAAAAAGTCCTGAAAAAGCGAGCACCCGGGGTTGATATATATTCAGTGCGCTATTTTTTTCTGGCTCTGCATGTTTATACAAACCTCATTTTGGCCGCACTCCATGCAGGCCGCCTCATTTTCCCTCTCCATTTCCCCACTGTCCCATAGCTTATTGCAGCCAAAAAGTCGTCAAAAATGGCATTAGATATAAGGGATGGTAGTATTAAAGCCACTGTGTCATTTGCTACGCCCTCCACCGACCCAGTCATGGGCTACGGGAGCCTCGGGCCCCGGCGACGGTTGCATGGTGCACGGGTGTTTTCCAAATGAGACCGGTGTGTGCCTCAAGCCCTGGTGTATGGGTTTCGACAACGGCGATCGGAGTCACCCACACTCGCTTTTGCCTTGCAAAAAAGGAAAAAAGCTCGAAATATCAGCCGCCTCGGCGCTTTCCCGCACGGCCCCTCAGTAAGGCAATCTCGGCAAAATCGTCAATTTTCTGTAGCTGCTTCTGCAAAAGGTAAATTATCTCTCTGCTGGCTGCGCGCCGGATTTTTCCGGCCGGCGTCGCTGGCACCGGAGTGTTTTGGGAAACCCGGAAAAATTTCACCGCAGATCCCCTCAATGGGATTTCAACGTGGAATTGCAAAAATCAATGGAAACCGGCGAGCGGTGTTGATGAACGGAAATGCCCCATCGTCCAATGAAATCGCTTGTTTTTCATGTTTAGCTGGACATGCATGGTCGGTAGAGTCGGCACCGAGGTGCATGAGGCCTTTTGACGTTTGCAACCATGAAAAAGCTCCGGCCCAGAGCGGTGAAAATATGCTGGATTTAATATGGGGGTTCCTCGGAGTGGCCGCATGGATTTTTCAAAATCGCCTGGTATTTTTCGGTGCTCGGTCGCCTCGGGTGCTGACGTCATGCTGCTCTTGCTCGGTGGGGCACTTTTTTTTTTTCAGTGGGGCACTCCAGCTCTAGATCCTCAGCCGTAGAATAGCCGGTTCGATGAGGTATTTCGGAATGGTGTCGGGTCGTTGAGGCAGCCAAAACATTCTGTAGTTTAACAATTTAAAAAAAGTTGATTATGTCTCCAAGCCAAGAGCCCTCGGCCTTATTGCCATGAATTTTCCATCCTCTTGTTCAGCATCTCCAGGCCTGGCCACCCGTCAACAGCCAATCAGGCCCATTTAGCCCCCGCTGCATGGACCTAAGGCATCACTCCACAGAGCTTATCAGGCAGATTGGCGCCATTCGGCTCGGTCTAAAGAAGCCGTTGAGGCATCGGTTCCGGTCCGGAACAGGACGTACTGCAAAACGGCCCTGGAGCCTTCTGTTGACAGCTTTCCGCATGAGGCCCTAGGAGGGTCTTAGGGAGAGTTGAAGGGTTTGCGTTTCGGTTTTGCGGTTTGTTGACATGTTCCCGATTCAGCCGTTCGGTTTGTGGAACATGCGAGGTGAAGCGTTGGAGGGCAATGTGATAATAGGATATATGGAGGAGGATCTATGAGGCGTGGAAGGTGGTTATGAACTGGAAAATAGGCTTTGGCTGGAGCGGTTGGAGGTTCTGTATGATTTAAAATAACCTGCTTATTATCACTTAATGGACCAATAACCACGTAGAGTGAAAACACAGTTTTGATGGGTGAGTTTGGGCAACGTTCTCGAATAATTAAATTTGTCCAATGGGAGGTTTATTTCGAGTCAAACGGCTCTTCTTTGCCAGTATGAATGAAAGCTTATCTTGAGGGGCCTCAATACGACATGTCCTAGTCAATGCGGTAACATTCTTCCAATGAAAACACCAAACAGGCCAATCCAGCAAAACAACATGAATTTGGGCAAAATGCTTAAAGTATTCAAGTTTTCCAATTGGTCCAATTGGAGGTACATTTCGAGTCAAACGGCTATTCTTTACTAGTCTGAATGAAAGCTTATCTTGAGAAGCCTCAATTACATGTCTTCGTCAATGCACCACATCGCCAAAACAACCAACCAAGCAATCCACCAAAACAACACCAATCCAATTATCACCATCCTCCACCCAAATCCTCAATTCCACCCTCTGACAGCTGATTTTGCAACCCAGTTATCTCCAGACCACCCCGCAAATCTGCAGTGTTTTAGACTTGCAGCACCTACTTTTGACAGGTCCGATGGCTGCAAACCCAGTTCTGGAAACTAGCTTCACTATAAATATCGGCAAATTCCCAAAATCCAAAAAACCCAAACTCTCCAATTTCACGTCCTCGAGACCCCGCCGATCGACAGCCGTTGGCAGGTGCCGGTTTGACAGAAAACGGCAGTCCACCACGGCAACCAACAGCACCTAGTCAAAGCCAATTTTCACCATTTTCCACCAAAAGCCCCATTTCCCAATTGCCCAACTCCACAAATTCCATTTCTCGCTTATTCCCCTCCACCGACCTCTCCGCGAGAATGCCATAATCTAGACATCCACCAACTCAAACAGCCCCAGAACGGCTTTTCCAACGCCATTCCCAAAATCACAGTCACCCCAAAGCACCCTTCTCAATTATGCTCCTGCCACCTCCCCACCGCCCACCTATCTCCAGCTTATATCCGCTGTGTATCTAGAACCGCACTATCACATGCCCCGGAGCGATACTTAAAACACGCCAATTCACCACAACCTCCACATCCATATCCCACCACATGGCCAAAATCACCCTCCAACACGGAAACAGAACCTTCTCTGCCTGGAGCTCCCACCCGCAGCTGGCAATCACAAACCCCCGCAGCTTCGAAAGAGTCATCTTCTTCTTACACGGTTTTCCAGACAACAACGAAGGCTACGAGAATGTCACGCCAATTGTCGCCCAGCACTACAAAAAGAAGGTCTTGATGATTGCGCCCGTCATGAGGGGCTACGAGGCCTCGTCCCAGGGCCCCGACACCGAGTACAAGATGTCTGATTTGGCTGGAGACGTGAGAGCATGGATCTTGCTGATTGTGCCCAACAAGGAGGTGCCTGTCCACTTGGTGGGCCACGACTGGGGCGCCATCGTCACTTTTAAAACCGCCTCCTTATACCCGGAGCTTATCACCTCGGCCGTCACCATGGCCATTCCGTACCTTGCCAACCTCAGAGCATGGCACTATCTCTGGTACGCTCCACGCCAGATCTACTGCCTGTCGTACTTTATGACGATGCAATATGCGTTTTTGTACCGCCAGAAGTTTGGAAACTTGCAGGTGCCGGGATATTTGGACGAGCTTTGGAGCTACTGGTCGCCTAACTGGGATTTCAGTAAGCAGATCGCCTCTGTGAGAAAGACGCTTTCTGAACCCGGTGTGCTCGATTCCGCCACGGCCTACTACCGTAATCTCTTCAGACCCAGCATCATCAAGGAGCGCAAGTGGATTGTGGATTTCGAAAAAGTGCCCACCTTGATTTTGGGCGGTGACAACGACAATTGCATGGTTCCGGAATTATACGACTTGGAGGCCCAGCTCTTGGCTTCCACGCCCAAGGTCAAGGTGCAATTGTTGTCTGGACTTGGCCATTTCATGCACAGAGAAGACCCAACCAAGGTGACCGAGTTGATCTGTGACTGGTTTGACAAGTACAATTGAGGACTCAGTGCAGATACTGATACGAGCTGCTGCGGCTACAACTGAAGCTGGGCATTCTTTGCAGATTGCTCTGGCTCGTTGCTCTTAAAATTGCTGTTATTTTGTCCTTGTCGAAGAAAAATAAACCAGTGGCTTTCGTCTGATTGGCAGGATACACAAAGCTGGAATGCTGCTTGGGGCGTATGTGCCGCAAGCCTGGTTTTTATTTTCCCTAAGCAGTGTCTAGGCAGCTCAGCGAGGAATGTTGATTATGAAGTGATGACTAAACCGAAGAAAGCCTTGTTACGTCAAGTTTGCTGCTGCCGAGGAAGCAGGCCTTGCATTGTGGTACGATTAATGAATTGAAGTAATTATCTATCCTATCTGAGGGTCACCTTAGGGAGGTGATGGAGAGGAGTATGGAATGACAATGCAATGCACAATCACCCCATGGCTGAGCCAGCCCACCACACAACAAGTACATGCAAATATTATGATTAATTTTTATGTGATTAAAAGATAAGTAGCACGAAGAATGAAAAAGACGGGCCGCGCCCGTGCAAAGGTATCTATTTCAACGAAAAGCGGCAGAGGCCGCACCTCCACCGTGGTCTAGAGTGACAGAGAAGAGACCAAGTTGTGCAAGAAATGAAACATTTTTGCCCAAAGACCTGCTTTGGTTCGTATTTCCCTTCAAGGACTCGCTAAATCTTATCTCTGTTTGGGGCGAAGCTTACCACTAAGCCCGTTGCTGGTTTTGGTTTTGGGGCACATGCTGTGTCTAGTCCTCGGATTGGGCTGGAAGACGCCCAATGCGGACCATGATACACAAAACTGGTTTGGAGCCCAGTTCGTCCCATATGGGCCAAGACCTAGGCACACAAAAGTAGACTAGCGCCTGCAGCCTTGTTCAACAGCCCTGGATTACCAAGATTCTTCGATGGCCATACGTATGAGCAGTTCGCTAATCCACCAGATTTACGAAGGTGGCAGTGCATTCGATGCCTGCACTGGGCCACGAGGCTGGAGCCGCGGCTGCGCCGATGACGCACAGCGAATCTTGACAATAGCACGCTCTGCAGTTAACCCAGTCAGGGCCCAAAAGTCTGACTGGGTCGACCCCTCAGATTCAGCGAACAATGCGGGTATGCAGCGAAAATGGCGCAGCGAAGAACTTGTGAACAAGGGGCCAACTTGTCTCGGGTACCTGCCACGACAGACTAGACAAGGGTCGAAGCCTCTTCGTCGTCAGGTCGAGCACAGAGCAAGAGCGTCGTGTTGGCCAGAGCTGCATCGCACTAAAAAAGCAAGAAGCGGAGCAGGGGCTTGGAAGAAAAAGCTGGCTTGCGGGAGCCCCAGGAGGATCTTCCAATGAGATCCTCGAATAGCACGTTCGACATTTCTCATAACGTGAGGGGCGTTCTGTTCGACAAGGTTATGAACAAGGCAGGGAAGGTGATGTAGTGGGGCAAGCGTCAGGGCACCATAAGCCAGGGCCAACCTGCATTAGACTTGGGGTAAGTAAAGCATGCCCTTTCGAGGATATCCCTTCAGGTGGGCCTTTTTTCTTCAGTGTGCCGTGCGTCACCCGCAGCAGGACCCGTGGTGCTGTCTGCAGTCCGAGCGTTTCCTCCACCTGACGGCTATGCGTATATGCCTTAGTGCATCGAGCAAGGTTTCCCTGGCAGCCTCAACCACAAAGTCAGCTACTCCATCTGAACAAGAGGGTCAGGATACGCCTCCTCGTAGTGGTCATACCCCAGCACCTGCACAGGCGCCATCAAAGACCCAGACACCCCGCCCAGCACCAGCGCCTGGTAGTCCCTCTTGAGCTCCTCCGGCATCTGCTCCATGACAAACGAGTCGTAGTCGCTAGTGTCTGTCCACCCCGTCAGACCCGTGTAACCAGGAAATGTCGTGGTGGTGGCATCGTCATATGTAGTCTGGTACGTGCCCATGCTCAAGGCACTGACAGTACTCATGTTGCTTAGCAGGCTCGAGTTGCTCAGCATCAGCTGCCGCAGCCCCGGTGGCCCATTCACCACCATGCTTTGAGCACTGTCCCCTGAGCCCCATTTCGTCTGGAAGCTGTATGCTGGTGTGTGAGGAGACAGCTGTACCAGGTTGGAGCTGTTGGAGAGCGGGTGGGGACTGTGGAAGGAGTTCTGGACCGGAAGCGAGTCGTATCCGTAGCCTAGAGCGCCGTTGGAGCTCTGCATTCCGCTGAGACTGGCCTCAAAGCTGCTCTGGAACGCACTGGCGGTGGTCTGGAGGGGCGGCTGGAGGGTATGGGTGGAATTGGAGGAGGAGGCAGACGAGACAGAGGAGGCCTGGTCATGGTCATGGTCGTGGTCGTGATAGTCGTAGCCCGGAAGCAAAGGAGCCGCAGCAGCGTCCTTGGAGTCCACCACGGGCACCTCCTTGGCGTCACTTCTCTTGACCCTCTTCAAGGGGCCCGAGACAAAAGTGCAATTGCCCTTGTTGAACTGAACACACGCCAAACAGGGGATGGACTTTTCGATGATACAACAAGTTTTTCTGCGGCGGCAGAAGTCGCAGGGTCTCTTGGTGTGCGACTTGTAAGGACGCACGGAGTTGACCTTGTTAGCCAAGGCCTTTTTGGAGAGCTTCATGGTGATTTTTGGGAGATCAGGAGGAGTGGGAATCGGCTCCTTATATGGTGAGACTTGGTGGAGTGCAGCCACCTTCCTTCCTTCAGGTGGGTCTGTTTATTGTGAAAGAAAAGGGTGCTTGTGCGTTTGCAGGTGCGTGTGCATCTGACATTGCAGGTTTCTTTCGTGCGGCCTTTGTGATCTCTTCCTGCGCAGGCCCGCAGCGAGAGGCGCATACGATCGTGCGTGGTGAGGGTGCGGTGCGTCACCCCGTGTGCAGTACCAACATAATACTGCTGCCTGAGCACATCACATGGACCCACGGACCCACTAAGTCAGTGAAGGTGGCTCGGTGCTTACAACCATGGAAGCAGGTGATTTCAAGCCCCTGGTCAGTAAGGCGATTGAAGTTGCTGTTTCCTGCAGAGGCGGCCCGCTGGGCCCCCCATTCCCGCAGTATCTGTGCGAGGTGCTAAGTGTCAGGCACCGGCAGGAACACGCCGTATTCGCTGTCAAAACCCAGAACGAGGACATTTACGGCTTTGTGCCATTTTACGCTTCGCCCTGCTACAAACTCCAGGGTCCCCGCGGAAAAGCAGATCTCCTTTCTCCAGAGGCCATATGGGAATTAGACGGTGATGTGACAGAAAACCAAGAATGGCAGGGAAGGGCTCCTATCCTTAAACATCATCGCTAAGAAAAAAAGAACATTTTTGAACAGCCTCTCGCTTGAGGCATTTACTCAGCGGGGCTTCCGTTGGTGCTTGTGCAAGGCATCCTGAAGCATCTGGCACAAGACTGGAGCAATAGGGGCCTTTCTGGCAGGCCTGTCTGGAAGACTGTCTACCGAGGAGGCCCACCGTTTCACCAGTGAATTCGCCAAAGCAGTATGATTTTTCGTGAATTTGCTTAAATTTTCAGTTGGTTTTTCGAAAAATTGCCATCAATCCAAATCTTCTTTTTTCTTTCTTTCTGACAGCGGCCATTCGCCCGCTCGCTTGGTAGCTTCGGTGCCTCGATTCGCTCGCCTGCTGCAGATCGCACTGCGGGCCGCTGGAGGGAAAAGCCATAAATCTATAATAGAGCGAGGACAGCTCCGCTGGTTGCAAAGGCGAATTAGCGGGCCGTTAGCCGAGGGGCGGCGAGACAATTTTAGAAGTTTTAGTGCAGAGGTGGGTTGGGCATTTTTGGGGCATTTTAGGGGCACAGCTTATGCCAGGTTGGTTTAGTTTTGGGGCAGTTTTGGGGCCTTGGGGTCTGTGTACTGCCATTTGGCTCGTGCTGCTGGCCCAGCACATGCACGTGGACCACGAAGACGAGGATTATTGACACAAAGCAGGGCAAACCACAAAACTAAACGAAGCAAACGAAGAAGATGGAAGTTTCACAAAAACAGAGGTCACTCGTGGAGGGGAACGCAAAGGCCTTTTCTAAAACCTACAAGCCCTCGCCTGGCAAACGAGCCGGCAAACGAGTCGGAGTGACTCAATTCTGGGTTGGTGCAGGCAGAGTGTGCAATGGAGATCCTCCCGCGGGCACCGCACTCTATAGATATGGAGTAAAGGGAAGTTGAAAAAAGGGACATTGAAATAAACGGAGGTTGAAGGAAAAAGCAAAACCAACAATATTACAAAAGGAGAATTATTGCCAATAATTAAAAACCGCTTATTTGCTTATTTGCTGCTATTTCATTGGACTACTTCATGCCCAGGGCCTAATCCCAGCCTCGTCGTGACCGCAGCCGCATTTACCTCATCCAGCGGGTCTGTACCCAGTGTCTGGCGGAGCTGGATCCGGCGAATTTTCAGCGATTGCATCCCCAGTGCCCTCCGGTTTTATCACCACTGAAACTGACCCCTACTTTTTTTTTTTTTTTGAAGTGGCACTTGCAGCGCAGTGACAAACGCAGAATTAAGGTTTGGCGTGGCACCTCTGAAACAGCAATAAAGCGATAGACTTTGTGCTTTGTGAGCTTCTCGTTTCAGGGGCACTGCCCTTCGGCTGCGTCCGGTCTGTTCGCTAAAATGCTTGTGTCGATCTTCCACGTAAATGCAACATGGACTGTTCCCACTTGGGGCCCATTGGCAGATCGGGGCTAATCTGGAAAAAAGTGGCAGATCTGGAAAAATCGCCCTTTACGATAGAAGTTTCCCTCCCCACTGTGGAGAAGGGGGCTTTCCGGGTGGATTGCTTTTGTGCCTTCTTCTTTACATGCGATTTCAGAAACCGGCAATTGGCTTAGTGCGTTGGCTGCGAAATGACCATGGAGACAGGGCTGAACTGCTTTTCTTTTGATGTGGGTCGATTGACGTGCGTAGCTTGCTTACTGTGTTTTACGAATAAGCTTTGGATCTGAAGATCATAACCCTGTACAACGGCTATAGTCCGCTGCTCCGCTGTATTGTTCGTTTTGAAGATTCCATTGTTGTCGGTATCCTGTGGTCCACGGGGTGGTTCTCAGCATAGCCTGATAACAATGGCTGTCACGACAAGCAAGACAAGCAAGTCGACGTAGATTTCGACGTAGCCTTGAAGGTCACTATTCCCTTGTAGGTATAGCTCTCCGCTAACGCTACGAGCCTACACTTCCCCCCATTATGCGTATATTCTAATCTACTCTCAGTTCAACTGGACATAGTTACCTGGGAAGGCTCCCGTCTGGCCATTATAGCGTCCAGTCCACCATCCATTAGCGTCTCCCTGCTCCACAATCTCAATCACAGCGCCTGCCGTGAACGTCAAGTCGCCTTGAGCCTGAGCAGTGTAGTCATACAAGGCTGTGCAAGTTGGCGTGCCAGTAGCAGCTGGAGCGGCCACTGGAGCGGCACCTGGAGCGCCGTACTGAGGTGGGGCCGCCTCTTGAGGTTGGCCGTACTGAGGTTGGCCATATTGTTGAGGCTGCTGGGCGGCTGTTTGGCCGTACTGCTGAGGCTGGTACTGAGCTTTCTCGTTGCCGTAGCCGTAGTTGTTGCCTGTTTGGCCCGGAGTGTACTGAGGAAGGGTCTGTCCGGCGGCTCCTGGTGCTCCAGCAGTGCCGGGCGCAGTCGATGCTGCCAGACCTGACGAGCCGGTGTTGTTGCCGCTCATCATCTGGTGCCTTCTCTTGGTGGCCTCCAACTTGTTCTTGGCGTGGCCCACCTTGAAGTGGGTGATGCCGATGTTGTCAGTTTGCTCTTCGATGTCGCCCTTCTTTGCGGTGTAAGCCTCGACAATGTCCAGGTTCAAGTCAAAGTATGGAATCTTGAGCTCTTCCATCCGGCTGTACAACGTGTAAAAGATGTTTAGCTGCATGTAGTAGAACGACACGAACAAAGGCTTGATGAAGTCCAGCTGCATGGCAAACAAGGTGGGCAACTCGTCCTTCAACATGTTGTTGTAGTAGTCAAACTCCTCCTGAGCAACGGCAACCTCGGCCTCGGCATTGTACATCTTCTCCTCGTCCTTGGCCGTACGCTCCTTCTTCTCCTCGTACTTCTTGTGCGTACGCTTGTGTCTGTCCAAGTCAACCTGCTTGTGCTCTCTCTTGGTGGCCATCTTTCTGATCAGCTGAATCACCTTCAAAAGCTCCTGCGCTGGGTCCACAATACGCTTCTGGATAAGCTCAAGATCCGGCTGCAACAGCTCCTTCAACTCCTTCACCACCTCTCGGTACGACTCCGACGCCTCGATACCTTCTGGGTTATCCTCGGGTACTGTAGCACTGGGGTCCGATAAACGCCCACTGATGGGCTTGTAGATCTCCTCAATGGCCTTGGAAAAGTCAATCTGGTAATCCAACATGCCGTTGACGGCGGCAAAGTAACGCTTGGACTCCTCACTGAGTTTCTTGGTTTCCAACTCCAACTCTTTGAATCGTCTTTCGGCATCGGCGTAAACAGGGTCCTGGGTGATTTCACCCATATTGAGCTTTTGCCGGAAGTTCTGCGGCGCACGCAACACCGACTTCTTGATGCCTTTGAACGACATGGTTTAATGTTTATGAATAATGGAGCTTTGTTGGTGCTGAGGTATAATGCCGACTGGGAAAGGGGAAAAAGTCACTAACCGTCCGTGGTGCACGGGTGTGCCACCTTGCGCACTCCAAGCCTCTACTTTGATAGGTGACCCATGCTGGAGAAAACTTACCACTACTTCTTCTTCTTCTTGATTTTTTATCAAAAAAGATGTTAGTGGAACTTGGCGCCATAGCGGTGGCGCCGCTCGTGACGGTCCAATGCGTTCTACTAAAGTCCACAAAGCTTGCTCTCTCTGTTTTCTGGTACCTGTGCTGGTTTTTGCACCCATTCGCCATCACACGTAGAATCCCTGAAGATCCAATGGAAGGAATGGAATTTGTGGTGGAGGTTTCGACTTTCAAGTTCTCGCAAATCCCGCTAAAGGCGTACTACGTTTCAAAGCGGTATCTCTTTGAAGACCCACAAGACACCGGATTCAACGGTATCCCACTTAGTGAGACTGAAGGATTCAGCGACTACTTGATGAAGCTTGAGAGTTATGCAAGGGCCTACCATACTGTGGAGGTCATTGAAGGATACGAGGATTCTGACTCCGAGGAGTCCATTGAGGAGGAACAAAATGACCAGGAGTCAGGGAATCCACAAACCCTCAATGGAACATCAACCTTGGATGAAGCTTCAGTATTCGATCCCCACGACGTCTCTTCAAAAGCCTCTTCCTCTTCGTCAGTGTCAGAAACCTCCTACTGTGAGGCTGCAAAAAAGCTGAGAATCAAAAAGAGAGACAGAATACTCAACAAAATGGTTGCAAATTACCCTCCAGTGCTCACCGCCAACCGTTTCAAGCACCTTAGAATTGCAATTGAAAAGTATATCGAGACCCTGGGTTTTCCCAAACACCTCTTCTTGAAGCTCTGCTGGCAGTACTTCAGCTGGGGTGGTACAGATATCGATATGATGTATTTGGAGCCCGAACTCGAGGTCTGCTTTTTGTGGATGGAGGTTTTAAGGGAGGACTTTCCCATCAGTTCGGCAGATATGTGGACCTTCACCGCCAAGGTGGTATTGGAGCTGCTTGGAGCCTCCAAGATTCCATGGACTGGTGGAAGATTCGATACCATGCCTTTCATTAAGGCCAGCTTTGGCGAGTTGTGTTCACGTTTTAATCTCAGTCTCAGAGAACAGGTGGCTCTCTGGGGAGGCGTCCAGATCTTGGGATTTCTGGATTTCATGGAAATCGAGCCATCACAGAGCAATATCTACCTTGAAGAGATGCCAGGATACAAGGATCTTACACCACGGGCGAGGCAATTGTTAGACCTTTTCGGCGCAAAGGGCCCTGATATAGCAGGTGATTTTTGTGAAGACCACAATTTGCTTATTCGGGAGTTTGGCCATGCTTATGGCAAGATGATAGAGCAGACCAATCCTTTGATCAGGCTTTGTCTGGAGCAGGGCAAACAGAGAAGGAGGCGTGGCCGGAAGAAGTAATGCGTTTATAGAATCGAGGTTTGAAAACTAATACATAAAATCATGAAAATTTATTGGAAATTTTGGGAGTTTCTTGCAACTAAATAGTCCTGGTGTCAGATCGCACTAGCAAGTGTGGTTTGTCATCAACGTAACATCCACACCAGCAACAATAATACCGACCCAGCCGGAAAGATTAGGATTTCTGTCCAGCATAAACATCGACCTTCACTGCATTTTTTATTTTAGAAAAAAAATAACAAATCAAAGCTTCATCTTTTGATTATTCAAACATCCATATCTATCTGGACGGCTGCGAAAAGGATCGACCGTTTCTGAGACATACATTACCCAACAGCACCAAACACCGAAACCAAAAGCCCCTCCAAGCACCCTCAAACCAAAAACTATATAAACCTCCCAAATCGTCCCACTTTCTTTTTTTTTTTCCGAAACCGCCCCAGTCTCACACTGCCAAGCCGCTTTTCCAAGGCCTCGTTCCGAAACTACTCCATCCTGCAAATCAGCTGAGTTTTCGCAACTACCACTTCTTCTTCATGGTGTTGGACATCAAGACGTTTTCGGTGCTGGATACCACAGGGTTCCTTCCGGCCGAGCTCCCGCTCCGGAAACTCCCCCAGCCCTGTTTCCAGCCCTGGGAGGATATCGTGGAAAACTTGCCTGCTTTGCTTCTCAGCAGAAGAATCAGAAGTGTCATTGACAAACTCCCACAAATCGACGTGGCCGAGATCCAGGGGCTTCCTGAGCTCAGGAGGGCCTATTCTGTTCTAGGCTTTTTGGCCCACGGATACGTATGGGGCGCCTCGACGCCGTCGTCGAAAATACCCGAACAGGTAGCAAAGCCGTTGATCGAAGTTGCTGACCGCCTCGGGCTCCCTCCTTTGGCCACGTACGCCGGTTTGTGCCTTTGGAATTTCAGAGAAATCATGCCCGGCCTGGACGAGTACGCCCAGGGCAGGTTCAACTGGGACAATCTCACCACCATCAACACTTTCACAGGCTCCATCGACGAATCGTGGTTCTACTTGGTCAGTGTGTTTTTCGAGTACAGCGGCGGCCAGTGTGTCCGTTATGGTCTCCAGGCCATGGAGCACGCCAAAAACGGCAATATCGAGCAGTTGACACGGAGTCTTCAGGAATTGGCCCAGACCATCGACCATTTGGGCTCCGTGCTTATGCGTATGGAGGAGATGTGTGACCCACACGTGTTTTACTTTAGAATCAGGCCCTACTTGGCCGGCTGGAAGAACATGGAAGGCGTGGGCCTTCACCCCAATGGTGTGATTTACGGCAACGAAAAGGCCCACAGATCGTATGCGGGTGGTTCCAATGCCCAGTCGTCATTGATCCAGTTCCTTGACTCCTTGTTGAGCGTTCAGCACCACTCTACTGGCGAGAGGCCGGTTCCCGATTTGGCCAAATCCGCTCCTCCAAAGGAAAGCACTGGTTCTGCTTCCAACGCCTTCCTCGTGGAAATGCGTAAATACATGCCCCAGGAGCACAGAGACTTTTTGGCGATGGTCGACGAGGAATGCAAAATCCGTGAGTTTGTCTTCCAGAACAAGCAAAACTCGGAACTCACTCTCAGCTACGACGCCTGCTTGGCCATGCTCAAGCTGTTCAGAGACAAGCACATCCAGATCGTCACACGTTATGTCGTATTGCAGGCCAAGAAGGCGCCCAAGATGGGTTCTTCGTCGACTCTCCGTTCTGGATTGGCGAAAAAGAAGGCTGCTGGTGTTGAAGAAAAGGGCACCGGTGGTACTTCCTTGCTACCGTTCTTGAAGCAATGCAGAGACGAAACTGGCGATCCTGCGGCAGGCAGCTGGGGTAAGCGTCTTCTCAGTGACGGTGTGATGCGTTTGGGATACTCCAAGCCTAACGGTATTAATGAGGATTAGAAGGATGGAATGACAATCAAGTCAAACACAATTGGATTTGCAGAACTACGAGATACAAGCTCAACAAAATAATGCAGACAGAGGGTGCCATCACCGTTCCTGGGCTGCACCAAAGGGTAGATTGATATATGATAATAGAGGACACGAGCTAGGCATTGCCTGTAGATGTGGTGACACTTGAAAGTTAATAAAAGCGGGCTTTTAGCGGACTGTTCCGCTGAATTCTATAAATCTCGAATATGGAATCAAAATATCACTAGAATAAAGCTCACTTTGTGCTCCAATACTGATGATCATCGCTCAAGCGGCTGAAAAATGGCTGCGAAAACAGCATACCCACATTGAACGACCAATTCACAAACATGTGAGAAACTCAACCACAGCCACTTTAAAATTCAAATCTTAAAGCTTATCGAGCACCCACCACCAAATACCCGCCAATGTCCACCACTTGAGCCCTGGGGAAGGGTAGTCACACCCGTGCACCACACCCAGCTATAGGATTTTTTTCCACCCGACCGTCTTGAAACGAATGTTCAAGCGGTTTCTACGACTTTCATCCACCCGATCGTTCGCTAGAGTCATGTCCACGGAAGCCACACAGCCCACAGCCAGCAAGGCCGCTGCCGCTGCCCCAAATGCCAAGCAGAGCAAAAAATCAAAAAAGCAGGAGTCCCAGTTTCTCTTGAAGACCCCAAAGGGTACCAAGGACTGGGCCGATAAGGACATGGTGTTGAGAGAGGAGATTTTTGGCACCTTGAGCTCGTTGTTCAAGAAACACGGTGGTGTGACCATCGACACGCCGGTATTTGAGCTCCGAGAGATTCTCACGGGAAAGTACGGTGAAGACTCCAAATTGATCTACAACTTGGAGGACCAGGGAGGCGAATTGACGTCTTTGAGGTACGACTTGACCGTTCCGTTCGCCCGTTTCGTCGCCTGCAACAGCATCAGCGCCATCAAGCGCTACCACATTGCCAAGGTCTACAGAAGAGACCAGCCTGCCATGACCAAGGGCAGAATGAGAGAGTTCTACCAGTGTGACTTTGACATGGCGGGCAACTACGACGTGATGGTGCCCGATTCGGAGATTTTGGTGATCTTGTGTGAGGGTTTGACGTCGTTGGGCGTTTCCGACTTCAAGGTCAAGTTGAACCACAGAAAGATCTTGGACGGTATCTTCCAGGCGTGTGGTGTGAAGGACGAGGACGTCAGAAAGATCTCGTCTGCGGTGGACAAGTTGGACAAGTCGCCATGGGAGGCTGTCAAGAAGGAGATGACCGTGGAGAAGGGCCAGACCGAGGAGGTTGCCGATAAGATTGGCGAGTTTGTCAAGGTGAGCGGCTCCATCCGTGAGACCTTGAAGTTCTTGACGTCCTCTGAGCTTTTGAAGACCAACGAAAGCGCCCAGAAGGGTATCGAGGAAATGGCTGTTTTGGCCGACTACGCCGAGGCTTTCGGCATCTCCAACTTCTTGTCGTTCGACTTGTCGCTCGCGAGAGGTTTGGACTACTACACTGGTTTGATCTACGAGGCTGTCACTGCCGCTTCTGCTCCACCAAAAAACGCTGACGAGTTGAAGGCCAAGGCCAAGAAGGACTCCGAGGAGGATGCTTCTGAGTACGTCGGTGTGGGTTCCATTGCTGCCGGTGGTCGTTACGACAACTTGGTGGGCATGTTCTCCAACGGCAAGTCCATCCCATGTGTGGGTATTTCTTTCGGTGTCGAGAGAATTTTCTCGATTATCAAGGCCAGAGCCGCCAAGGAGTGGGAGTCTCTTTCTGCTTCCCAGACTGACGTTTACGTTATGGCCTTTGGCGGTGGTCCTGACTGGACTGGTTTCTTGCCTCAGAGAATGACCGTTGCTAAGCAATTGTGGCAGGCCGGTATCAGCGCCGAATACGTCTACAAGGCCAAGGCCAACCCTAGAAAACAGTTTGATGCTGCCGAGAAGTCTGGTGCCAAATTGGCCGTTATTTTGGGTAAGGAGGAGTACCCAGAGGGCAAGTTGAGAGTGAAGAAGTTGGGCCAGGGCGACGACAGTAATGAGGGTGAGCTTGTGGAGGCCAAGGACATTGTAAGCGTTGTTCAGGAGCAGTTGGCTGCTTACAACGGTGGTGATGCTGACGTCTTGACTCGTTTGGTGAAGAATTTGTAAATGTGTTATAATAGAAGCGCCAGAAACTGGCAAACGGAAACATTTAGAGCTACGCTTCTTTTTTCTCCAAAGGCTTCATTCTGCCTAACATACTTTTCCTATCCTATCCTAGTTTTGATTCCTGTCCAACCCGCTAACGTTCCGTCCCAGACGCTCTTTGCCTGTCCGCTTGACTCTGTTCCACAACGTGTTGACGTCGTTGAAGCAGAAATGCCAGATGACGCCACACCAGGAGTCGATTTTAGGCAACGGATCGTAGAACTCGGCAGCGATCCGGCGAAGCTCGGGAAGCTTGGTCCATGCAACGTATGGGAAGTCGTGGTGCTCATTGTGGTAGCCCACGTTCCACGTCACCAAGTTGAGTGTTCCGTAGTAGGAGTAGGTCTCTGCGGGCACAAGATCGGGGGTGAGATTGCCCTCTTTCTCGTGGCCAGCCCGAGGAACGTTATTTTCGTTGAGCACGTAGTGTTCGGCGATGAAATGGCCAGCGCAGGGGTGCAAGGAGCCGGCCAAAAAGGACGACATGATGAAGTAAAGCAAGCTGTTGACGCCAGCGAGCTTCACGAGCGCCACATCAAAAGAGACCTGGAACACGATGTTCATCAAATGAATGTAGGTGAAGTTGATCTGGGTGATGAACATGGGTCTCAAGGCGTAGAAGAAGATCTGGCACGTGGCGAAGAACACCTTGCCCAAGACGTTCGACAAGACGACCGATTCTAGCGGAGTAGGCAAGTCCGTGTCTAAGTACTCGTCGCCCATGAACTTATGGTGCAACTGGTGGTAAGGCTGGAACGAGGCGCTATACGGAATACCGATGGGGATATTCGTGAAAATAGCAAAAAGCTTATTGTGGAAAGGCTTCTTGAACATCAAGTTGTGAGACAATTCATGGATAGCGAGGAAGATGGCCTGGTTCGCCGTGGCTCCTATCACATAGGCCAACCCGAAAAACTTCCATGAAATCGGATGTGTGTTCCGCAAGTACACCGCCGTTGCCACCTGCAACGCCACCACCGCCATCACGTACCATTTCAGCTTGGGTTCGTGACCCGTGAGCTTTCTGACCTCGGGGTATTTGGCGATAATGGCCTTTCTCCTGGCCACATGGGGCTCAGCGTCTTTTGTCCAGTAGTACTCGTTGAGCACGTCGAGCGGCGCGTCGGCAGCAGGCGCCTCCACTTTGTAGCTCTGTTTAGAGATCCTATGAGTAAGAGACTCGACCATAAAGACGAGATGTGAATCTGGTCTGATTTCGTGAAAAGGCAGTGTGTGGTGTGTATGCAGGAGGTTACGAAGAGGCATAGAGGCTGAGACCCCCGGGGGGCTAAACATAAAGAGATTTTTTATGAGATCTTGATTGGCTCTTAGCTTTGTTTTTAAGTCATCGTGGAAGTTCACTTTTTCTCGGTATTGTTCATTGGTATGTGAACTACGCGATTGGTCTGATTTGCGATGCATAGCGTTAAACAGGCGATGCTGCGAGCCTGTCAAATCTAGGTACAATAGACTCGGGAATCCGATAGACCCGGATCGAGAACTTGGAAATGCAAAATCCATTTTCACGGTGGTGGAGCGGTTGAAATGCAATAAGCACTTTGGGAAAAAAAAATTCACCTTTTTTGTCCCCCTCCTGCCATATTGCATTTTGCAACCATTAACGGCACCACTACTGACTAGATCCAAAGTTCTGGCTGCTCTGGGAACTGCTGCCGTAGTAATTCCATGGCGCCTGGCGGTTCCAAGGACCCTGAGGCCCGTACATTCCGAATCCTCCAGGCGGCTGACCGTAGATACTGGCATACTGTTGGAAATCAGGAACCTGGGATGAACCAGGCATCTGTGTAGCTTGGGGAGGTGGAGGTGGCGCCATTCCAGGGTAAACAGGCATGCCGTAGCCCTGTGGGTATCCAAAAGGCTGTGCTGGGCCTTGAAGAAACTGGCTTTGCGCCATGGAGTAGCCTAATTGAGGAGTCTGGCCCATTGGCGGCATCATAGGCTGACTCATCAGGAACTCGTGGCCCTGGACCTGTGGACTTCCTTGATGCAATTGCTGAGAAAAGCCTTGTTGGGTAGAAGCTGCCTGAATTTGGTGTGTGGCATCCACAGGCTCCTGCGTTGACGTTCTGAGTGCACCCAGGCTGTCCTGAGAATCTGGAATGACAACGTCGTTGGACTTGTCCTGGTAGGTATCGTTGATGATGGAGTTGACCATATCAGAAAGACCCGCTTCGGTGTCAATTCCACCGGAACCATTCTGCTGTCTGAACGACTGGGCATGGCCTGCAATCATCAGTTCTATTTCCTCAATAGAAGAAGGTGCCACATTGGAGGTGGATATCTCGGTAGACAGGTTGGCAACTTGCACCTCGTTATCCTCCTCGACTGGCTTCTTGGGTAACTTCTTTGATTCCTCTGGCTTTTTGGGACCCTCTCTGATGATCGAGGCGTAATCCTTCTTCTTCTCCGCCTTCTTTTCAGCTTTTGGTTTGGGTGACTTCTTCTTGATACCCTTCACATTCGGCGTGGCCGAAACCTCCACCTTGACCTGAAGCAAATGAGAGTATTCATCGAGGGTCAAATCGTTGAAGTTGTTGCTGACCTGCTTGGCAATAGCGCAAAATCTCATATCGTTCTCGAGCGATTCGGATGCCTGTGCTATAAGCTCAGCCTTAAGCTTTCTCTTGCTCTCAGTATCGAGATTTTCGCTATTGAGCTCAAATTCCTTGTCAATCTGCTGAACAGCGTAGTTGTCCAAGAACAAGGGAATGCCCTGGGCCTTGCTGAAATACTCACCACCAAATAGTGGTCCAACATAGTCACTGGAAAACAATCTCGTGTCCTGGAAGTCCTTGAACTGGAACCCAATTGGGCCAAAGTCCTTGAAGTTGACATCTTCAGCAAAGTAGTGTGTACGAGTCGGAAGGTCCTGAGCAAGATAGGCGTCTGAAAGAATAGCGAGTCTGTGAGCTTGTTTTTCCAGATCGTTAAGAACGATAGCATTCACGGCCTTTGCAACGGAATGGTTCAATTCACCACGATCGAAGCTGAGAAGGCCTGTTTGCTTTCTGAGGAAAGCCAAGATGAAACGCAAGTTCGGGAGGTGAACGTCCTTGTTGTGCTTCAATTCGGCAACGTCTCTGAGATAAGCATTAAGGTAGTTGACGAAAAGGTAACCAATCTTTTTCTTAGCAGATTGGCTGTTTTCGGCCTCGGCCCAGCAGAAGAAGCAAATCAAAACAGTCAAGTGCTCCTTGATGAATTCCGGATTCTTAACAAACTGAGTCGTTTCAGGGTTGCAGAACAACACCCCGATAATCTCCTTCTCTGCTGTTTCGACATTGAGCGGACGCTTGTAGAAAGAAGAAAAGAAAATCTGGGCCAAAATGCGTAGAAGCCAGATGTTGATATCCTCCTCGTTCATTTGACGAGGATGTTTCAGCTTGATTGAAGTATAGGCTCCCTCAAGCCACTGCTTCTTGAATATCGTCGCAAGGTTAACCTTACCAACCACGTAGTTCGGTATTCTCGTAAACTGAGAACGCAAAAACCACAAGGTAGCGTCAAACTTGGCATTGGCGCTATTGTAAATCACACCAATGTGGTTATAAGGCTCATTGAGCGCCGGAAGCAAACCAATGCACTTATGGTAGCACTGCAACGCAGGCTCGTAATGCTTGAGAGAATTGGGGTTTTTGTCCTGCTGTTTCAAGTGTCTGTAGTAGGCGTTCACTGACTTGCAAGGATCAACGTATGTGACGGTGATGGTGGCCGAGTGTCTATTCAAGTTACCCAATCCCAACAAACAGTGGTAGAGGATGAAGGTAAGGTTTGCGTTGAAATCGGAATTCGAGCACTTTTTGCCTGCGCCGGTGGCAATATCCAAATCGGCAAGGTAGTTTTTCGGTAATAATGGGTTTTCGTAAGATGCCATCATATGCTGGAGAATGGATCTGTATGCTGCAGTGGAGGATTTGACGAACTTGGTAAACGTCTCGTTCAACTTTCTCATTTCCACAATCTTGAAGTTCCCCTTTTTCTTGTCCTTGAGTGTGTCTGCCGACTGCAAGTACAAATCGGCATGCTGGCGTTGGTAGAACTTCACGATGGGGTGCAAGAACTTACCCCATAGTATCTCCAAAAGCTCAACCAGCACAAACTCGGCATCCTGGTTTTGCGGGGTGGCGCCGGAATGCTGTTTTTCGTGGTACCGGGCCACGTCGTCCTGGATCCACTGGGAAAACTTGGACTGGACCACGGCGTTGAAGCCTAGGAGGAGAGACTGGTCGACATACTTTTTCGAAAGGAAATCGTCAAGGTGAGACTTGTATTTTTGGATGTCTGCGGTGACGGGAGGCGGGAGCATATTTTAAGGCAACGACGGCGCAATGATCATTCTAAATGCCGATGGGCCTCTGGCGGTTCAGCGTTAAGCTTGTGGTGAAGAAAAAAAGGCCGGCTTTTTCGATGCTCAGGGCCTCTGCACAGGACCGTTTGGTGGTTGCAAATCAGAGGGGGTTTATGGAGGGGAAAGGTTGGAGGTTTTGGTTGGGTTTTGATGATGGATTGCTAAGATTTAGGGGTTGTGTTTTTGCTGGGTAGTTTTGATTGGCCTGGTCATTTGGGCCTGTTACAGTCGGGCTAGGATGGTAGGTACGGAATTCAGCATGAGGCGAAAATTTGAAAATATGAACGATGCTACGATTAAATAATTCTTCTTTGATGATTTTCGGCTAGTTTTCTCAGTCGTACTCTTCTTATCCCTAGGATTAGACGACGTTGGTGGGAGAGTTTGCAGCCATTGTGACCGCGATCGGAATTACAGAGGTGCATGGAACACCCTGATGGGAACAGGAATCCTAGCATTACATGTATCGTCAGTTGAGATAGGAGGTGATATTTCTCATACTACTTTTCTTTTATCGCTTTTTCAGTGTACTAGTCATTGAACTGCGGTATCCCAGAAGTAGACATGTAATAATGCCATCGCTGTGGTCGAGGCTTCATAGATTGTCCCCAGTTTCAGGTACTCACCAACCATGTATGCCCTAGAACATTACATTCATATAAGCTTGGATTCAAAGCTCAAGGCACCTGGAAGAAATCTTTCATGATCTAGATTCCAATTGGAGACTCATCCTACACTCTTTCTAACCCTCCTTGACTTACACCGAGATGCGGCTCCATGCATCAACTTTTCGCAGCCATCAGAACCCTAAATCCACTGAAGTTCAAAACGGCTAATAATTACAGGTCTATTGTCTAAATTTTCTTTTCACTCTAACTTCCTCTTTCATGAAAAGGCCCATGTTACATAATCCTTGATATCCTGATTCGGACCCTTCGACCCTTCCAGTCGACCTTCGACGTTCATCCCCCTTTTTACCCTGTAAGCAAGAAACAACCCTTCTTTCCTATTCCAATAAATCCTTCATAACCGTTGCATCATACCCCTTGCCTCCATCCGCCAAAGCCACTGGAATGGGAGGAAACTGCTTTGCCTGCAACATCCAGGATCCCAAATAAGGTCTATAACTGTGCCTAATCTTTATAAGAGCCAGTTGATGCCTGCTTTGGTCGTTGGCCTGTCCATGTCTTTTACGCCTGGAGGCTTGCCCGTTTCCCTGGCCGCCGTTTTGAACCCCTCTGTCTCCTCAACTTCCGACAATGCGTGAGCCAGTGGGTGTTACTTTTGCATCTCCCACACCACCTTCCCTTTTTGTCATTTAAAGGGGGACACTCGGCGAGAATCTGCTCACGAGTCTCTCCAAGCAGGTGGTAGTCAAAATGTGCCACTAGCCTCTCGCGACCAATATGAATGTCATAGAGTCTCTTCTTCCAGTCCACAGACTTGACACCCATCCCTTCAAGAATCAGCCTAGTGATATATTCACTTTTGTCAGGGAATTGAGCCATTGCCAGCATTCCAAACTGTTCCTCGAAGGTGAAGCCGTAAACTTTATTGATGTGGTAGTAACACTGTAAGGCGGCGTTGCAACCGAGGTTGTTGAATCTGTCAAAAACATGTCTCGCAAAGAAGGAGTAGATAGATTCACAGTTGAGAAGGTCACCCTTACACATCTCGTCATGGAACTTTTTCATGCCTTCGAGACCTTCGGTGTGGTCATGGAACATGCCCAAAAATGATTCCAAAAGTGACAGACAGAGAGAATCAACGTTGTCCCTTATCATTCTTGCATCCTCCTCCTTCTCATTTTCAAGTAATTTTTCAGCTTTCTCAGGGTCGTACATGTATGTAATGAAGTACAGTCTCTCCAAACGGAATGAATACCTGAAGCAATTCCAAACAACATTCTTGAACCAAAGCATGTAGAGTTCACTGCGCTCAAGAGAGAACGGAAGAGTCACGTCGATATCATTGATTGGTAACCTGCCCTCTCTTGAAACAGAAAAGGAAACCGGTTTTCCTAGAGGGAGCAAACTGTATAAGGCTGATCCCTCACTCATTTTAAAAAACCAACGATAGTTTTAAAAATACCAACGATAGTGTTTCAGGAAAAAGCTATGTAAAAAGAAACAGAATGGTTAGTTTGCACATCGGTAGGAAAGCCAAGACAATTGGCCGAGGGTCTGTCAGGAGCCTTAGTCAAGAAGACCCTCGTACATGCACCACAGTCTCACTGAGGCTCGTCCATTTTCCAGGCCCACGTGACTCGTCAATGCTGCCCGCCATATATAAAGGGACATTTCCCAGAATTCCAGCCTAACACATTAAGTCACTTTCTTCCTGCTATATAGCTTAATCTTGGAGTCGTTAACTCTCTAACCATGAGTCTGGTAAGCCCTATATACAGTGATGAGCCTCAGGTGAGACTACCTCAGATACATGCAGTTTCCAACATACCTTCTATATCACGTGCCGATAAGCAGATCACTTGCCACTTCTTCAATCCACCAACAACATTTTCTTCATGTCTGACGAAGCCAAACCCGTCAAAGTCCATGTTTACGATCTATCCCACGGTCTTGCTGCATTGTACTCGCCACAGCTTCTCGGCAAGTCCATAGACGGCATCTACCACACTCTGGTAGTGGCGTACGGCAAAGAGTACTACATTGACCAGGGCATCAAAACGGCGCAAGCTGGAAGAACAAAATACGGATCACCGAAGGAGGTTCTTGATGTTGGTGAAACTTATATCACCGAGGACATTCTTCAGGATTTTCTAGAAGACCTTCGAAACCACGAGCAGCAAAAGTACAATGCACTGGCATACGATCTCTTTGAGAACAACTGCAACCATTTCACTGATGTGGTGATGGAATTTTTGGTGGGTAAGAACCTAGAAGACAGGATCTTGAAGCTACCCCAAGAAGTGCTCAATTCGCCTTTGGGACCAATGTTACGGCAGATGTTGAATGGTGGATCTGGAGGTGCTGCTGGAAACGCGTACTTCGGATTCTGAGGGGTGTCTCAATATGACATGAAGATGGACTAGATATGCTATAGAATATGGTGAAGGAAGGGTTCCATAATTGGATTACCCAAATCGGGCATTTACATAGAGCTCAATAGATATGCGTATGTGCTATGCATGTAACGCGCTGTAAGTGTAGCTTAGACATTGCATTAGACTCTGCTACCCAATGAATTTTCAAAATTATCCAAATCATTATTTCATATATTTCAATCCAAAAATTCTAAAAATGCTTTATCGAAAAGCCCCGGTCTCGGCTATGCCTCGGAGTGGACCCTGTATGCGAAATGGCTGCAAATGTGAAACGGCCAGGAGACAGCACTATAAATACGGCCGATCTCCCACTTTTTTTGGTCCCCCCTTTTTCTCCCTCCCCAACTTTTTCTTCTCTTCTAGCTCAATGGATCGAACACTGGCCAATGTAAGTGGCACCCTCCAGCACGCTGGCACGGCGTCTTACTAACCCTTTCAGACCTTGGATTGTCCCCCAATCTTCAACACTCTTAGTTCTGGCAGTTTCGGGAACTCTAGTGGCTACGCTGGTTCTCAAACTGAGGACACCGACCCGGACTTCTTTCCCCTTTTGAACGACACTCTCGGTGGCAAGTCCCGTCAGCTGCTGATCAACGCGTCTACAGTGTCTGCTAGTCTGATTCAGGCCCTGCCAGCTTGGACGTCGCCCCAGTCGGTGAGTGACAAGTTTGACACGGCTCAAAAGATCCTGATGGCCAATTACGTTTCAAACGCTGGCTTCCTGTCCTCTTTGGTGAGTCCTTCGGTCTCTTCCACGAACCTGTTCCAGAACATGTATCCCATGCAGAGACTGTTGTCTATCAACGGACTTGGAGACCAATACGAAAACACTATCAATAGTAACTACATCCATCGGCCCAGAGCCGACTCGTATGTCGCAGCTCCACAGGCACGTTACAAGAGCGTCGATGGTCTGATCGATCTCTCAAAGAAGAGGGACATCCGCATGGCTTACAATAACCAGAGCTACACTCCATCATTTGAGAAGGAGAACAAAGAGCCATCAACTTCCATCAGCTCGAAGCATAGCTCTTTTGACGGCAAGGCGTTGAAGCCAGCCAAATCAGTATCCTCAGACAAGGTGCAAGCGTTAGAAGCTGAGCTTGCCTTCCAGACTGAGATGAACAAGTCCGTAGCAGAGAAGCTCAAGAACTTCAAGTTGAACAAGACACAGGCATCTGGGTCCAATTACAAGGATAGCCCATCTGTGCAGATGCCCCAGAAATACCACCAGCTTTTCAGAGACCTCACACAGACCTTGAATGAGAGGACCAGTGACTTGGAGGACACCAAGTCGAGATTGGAAGCCATCATGGTAGCGTTGGTGATGAACAAAGGTAGTGACATCATAGAGAATGGCACCTTCGACGCGCAGGAGATGGCCCACAGACTCACGAGCAAGTTGGAGGTGTTGCTGGCGGAGAATGAGTCCTTACAGAGAATGGTAAGCTACAGCAACAAGCAGAGTCTCCTTATTGAGTTGAACTTATTGAGGGAGGAGAATGAGTCTTTGAAGAAGACCATCAAAGAATTTGATCAAAAGTAGATCGTGAATGGAAATGTCTATATTATGCGGAAATGTAGTGGTAGCATATAAGGAGAGCGCTTGGTGATATTTGCAGCCTCACAACTACTCTATTTTCAGATCCAAAAGCAAAGTTTGGAGAAGAAACACCCAACACTAAATGTCTCAATTGTCTCTGTTTGACCCAATAGGTAATTGGGGCGCCGTCAATTTCAATGTAGAATTCACCAAAAAACTCTATGAAGAAGATGCTGATGCCAAAGCTCGAGAGAGGTTCAATGCAGCCAAAAAGCTCAAACAAGATAGTCTCAAACGGTACCTTCAAAGAGCTTCGGTAATCGATCCAGCAGAAGAATTCAGGAAGATGGAGTTCGAGCTGTTGAAAAATCCCAAAACCTATCTGCCTCTGGAAAGTATGGAGAGCCTCTACAACCATGAAGCAGTAAGGAAAGAAAGTTCAGAGAGAGTTATGCATTTGATGGGTTTCAATGTTAATGAAACAGAGAGCGTTTATTCCATAGATCCCATTTACGACTGTCTCGTTGAAGACCCCAACCTTCTGACATGGTTGAAGTTTGCCAAACTGGGCATTATAGAGGATGATGAAAATGACATCAACATCGACTGGATTGAAGATGATACTGGCAGTAATATTGAGGTTCTGTCATTCGAAAGTCTGTGGGATGATTGGTCCAGTTCATGGGGTTCTGGCTGGGCTCTGGAGTGTAGCACTGTGTCAGATTATGCCTGGGATAACTGGGACGACTGGTGTGAGGTGAAGGTCAGAGTTGATGCCTTTTTTGAAAGGAGAATGAAAAAGGCAGAAAAGAGAAGGTTCAATCGTGAACGGTTTTATCTAGACTGGTTATTTGGCGAAAGGAAGAGTCGAGGCAGATCAGAGAAGGATTCGAGTTCCTCGGATGGTGATAGTCTGGTTGGCTTTGGAGCACACAGGCCAAAGTCTCAGAGGGTAAAGGAGGCCTTCTACGCTCCGCTCAAGTGGTTACAGCCAAAGCTAGAGAAGTTGAAAGCCAAGTCTCTGAGATCGTCGCTTTTTCAGAGAAGTGCTGGAAAGTCACCTTCTGAAGGATTGAAAGCAGGTAGTCTGAAAGCAGTCTATGGCTGGTTTACCTCTGACGAGCTGTCTTCTGAACTGGGTGGATTGGATTCTGGAGAGGTGGGTTTGACACCGGAACTGGCGCCATGTGAGCCAGGTTGTTCAGTGAAGTGTTGGTGAGTTGTAGTGGTATGGTGATGATTTTTCAGACTGAGTCCATATCGTCAATGAATACTATTAGTCGATGTTCTTTTTTTTTTTTTTTTCATGATAAGAAACAAGCATTAAAGAGGGAGAGTTGGTTCTGGTGAGGAGTCATTTGTTGAAGTCCAATCCGCTGAGTGATTGCATCCAGCTAAGTAACTCACTCGATCTTCGACATTGTCTCATTCCGTTCATCATCGACTTTCTTCCAAAAAAAAAAAAGGCCAGTTTACGAAAGCTTAACAGGCCACAATGGAGCCGCATGCACGTATCTTTCGGACCGATGACAAGGTCTGGGCGATATATCCAGCCGCTTACTATGAGCACTTTTCGTGAAGCCGTTTTGCAACCATTCATGGCGAATCGGGCAAGGTGCAGCGGGCTACACGGCGGCAAACATGAAAAGTTTTCAAATCAGACGATTTTCATCCAATCGGATTTTTGGAAGTTTTTGATATTTGACGAAGTGCCGATTTTCATTTGCTACTCGTAACCATTATCGCACTGCGGAGCTACCAAACGTCAGATCTCAGAAACATCACAATCCAGGCACCAAAAAAGCAACAACAAAAGAAGCGTTTATTTAGATTCAACACTAAATTCAATTTCCCTATTATTTCCTCCACCAAATTTACCCTAGACTAGATCTCCTCAATGCCCTACTCCTCAAACCCCACCGTATCTGCTCACCATTCGGGAAGTGACAGTCCAACAATGGACAATGCCTATTGTGAATTCAGGCACCGAGGCGTCAATATCAGCAACCTGATTCGCCAAAGCCACCTAATCTACACCTTAAATCTTCTTGGCATCGGAAAGTACGCCCCACGCTTCCTCGTCTCACTATGAGCATTTTTTCATTACCGTTTCCAGAAGCAGCTTTAGCGACACTGCGTTCCGTTATAATGCACCGAGTTCCCCCAAACGCATTTTTTGCACCCAATGCTCTTCCACCATCTAGTGCCTTTTTTATGGCTATCACTGGTGCTTTCGCTTGTCATTGTGGACTCCTCCATAGCCTCAGCATGCATCTACTATATGAAAGAATTTGACTGGGGTTGTGGCGGAACAGGCCAGGGCCATAAGTACTATATGTGCCGGTGTGGAAATGTGGACTGGTTGGGGTCGGTATCAAATTGTATATATGAGCAGACCGACGACCAGGGCAAGATTGACCATGCTTTGAAGCACGTCACTACAAGATGTCTCCAAAAAGGCCACTTCCATTACTCCGTGGACGAAATGAAGGCATGGAGGGAAAACGCTACTCAGTACATTCAGCAGCCAACGGAACAGAATAAGGAGAATCAGACCTACCATCCTTTGGGCGTCAATGCCACAGATTTCCACCTTTACATGCGTTCTTTTGACGAAATCAACCATCACGTCTTCAAGTCCCAGTGGCTCGGCTGGGGGCTTTTATGGTACTGGGTTGCAGTGATAGGCATCTTCTCGGTGCTTCATCTTCTGAAAACCTACCTTGGCGTAAGAGCGCCTAGAACGATTTCCCAAATTTGTTCAAAATACCTTACCCCGGTTCGTCTTTGGGGATACACTTTTGGCGATATGCTCGTGATGGGACTCTTTTTGGTCTTCACCGTTTTGGCTACAGCGCTTTCCTACGACGTCCAGCTTCCCAACGTCTACATCAACGATGTGTACTTCTTGACGTTGGACTTGATTGGCTACCGCTCGGCCTTGATCTCGTTTTCCCTTCTTCCTGTGGTGTTCATCTTTGGCCTCAGAAACAACCCATTCACGCTTTTGACCGGATTCTCCAGAGCTGAGTTCATCAAATACCACACCTACGTCGCCGTTATCATGTCTATCGAGGCTCTTATCCACTCCGCGGTGTGGACAGACTACGCCATCAACGACGCAGGCTACCTGGCCTGGGGTATGGATGACTACTGGAGATGGGGTGTAGTGGGAACCATCCTTTTGTTTCTCATGATTGGCCAGAGCTTCCAGCCTGTTAGAAACTTCATGTACGAGACTTTTTTGATCATTCACAAGGTCTTTGGGTGGCTCTTTATTGTGTCGATGTGGTACCACTGTATTACTCTTGGCTGGATGGGCTGGATCTACACCATGATTGCGCTTACAGTGTACGACAGAGTCATGAGATGGAGCAAGATGTTTATTTTAAACCGTGGTCTTACTGAGCTTTGCATCAACGTGATTGACGATAAGACTCTTGAGTTGATTTTGCCCAAACCACTTGCATACGATATGGCCTATCGTCCTGGCAACACCGTCTATGTTACCTTCTTCCATACCAAAATCTGGGGTCAGTGCTTGCAGTCCCATCCATTTTCCATTCTTTCGTCGCCTGCTTCGTCGCCTGGTGTATTGAAGATGTACGTCAGAGTCAAGAAAGGAGCCACCAAGAGTCTTCTTAAATTGCCCACCGACGAAAAGGGCAGAATGTGGCTCTGGTGTCTTTTGGACGGTCCCTACGGTGGAAAGACAATGAAGCATAAGGAGAACGACGCCAGGGTATTCATTGCCGGTGGTCTCGGAGTGTGCAGTTTGTTTCCATTCATTTACGACAATGCTGCCGGTACCAAGCTTCTTTGGACCGTCAACAGCATCAACGAATTTCTCTGGATGCGTCGGGATATCAAGTATATTCGTGAAAGGGGCGCCCAGGTGACGGTGTTTGTTCGTGAAACCGAAGGTGTGAAGCTAGATGACGAGAAGTTGGAGTTTGTCAAGGTTGTGGATAGCCGACCTGACGTGAACCAATGGGTGAGCGAATGCGTCGAGGAGGCCAAATCAGAGTCCAAGTCTGACTTGTACGTTTATTCTTGCGGTCCAGGTGTGATGGACGACCAGATCAGAAACAGCTGCATGGACCACATTGAGGTGGGTCTGCCATTTAATGTTCACTACCAGTCCATGAACTTCCAGTGGTGATTACGATACATAGCATGATGAGAAGTAAATTAACGGAAAGGTTGTAGGCATTTAGAAGAGCCATAGTCTAAAGTCCTATTGGAGTCTAGTGGTCTACTGACTAGTACAACTGTCATGGCTGCGAAAAGCTCATCTAGTCTGTGTTTTTGACCAATGTGCCAAATAAAGTAAAAACGCCTAAAATACATGAACCTAACGATCCTTGACAAATTCAAGGCTTTAAAGAAAATTGACCAGAACTGGTGTGACATCTGTAAACCTCGATAGTTGACATCCGACTGACGATACCACCATCGTTGAAAAAAGTGACAACAGAGAACAAAGAAAAATAGAAAAGAATTATGAATCTCTTAATTGAATTATTAATTTTAAATGACTAGAAGCTCCCTCATTGCCTAAAATACATCACTTAGACGACTGGGTCCATGGCGGGCTGGCTGCCTGAAGCACTCTTTACACCCGTGCACCTCAATACATCAAAGTGAGAAAACATCAACGCTACCAACAACTCTCCAACAACATGGTCAACCTGCTTCCTGCGGTCGTTATAGACAACGGCACGAGCTCAACACGTGCCGGCTTTGCGCTGGAAGATTTGCCCTCGCTTGTGTTCAACTCCTCGTACCTGGTGGATGAAAACAACAAGGTGCTTGTGGGAGACAAGATCAACTCCAGACCCGACCTTGAGGTGATGACCCTCGTGGACAATGGTATTGTGTACAACTATGACCACGTCGCCAGCAATTGGGAATATGTGTACGAGAACTTGGATAGCGGCAATGGCGTGGATGCCAAGGACCACCCTTTGATGATGACAGAACAGACGTGGAACACGCCTAAGAACAAGGCTGCTGCTGCCCAGATTGCTTTCGAAGGCTTGCAAGTACCCCTTTTCTCGCTCTTGAAGTCTCCATTGGCTCAGTTATACCACACCGGCCGTCTGAGTGGGTTGGTTATTGACATAGGTGCTGGTGTGGCCAGTGTGACACCCATTTTGGACGGTGTCATCCAGCAGAAGCTGTGTTTCCACTCCAAGTACGCAGGTGACTTTGCATCTTTGCACGCCTTGCGTAGCATAGAAGCCAAGTTGGGCTACCAGCCCAGTCAGCTCGACAACTCCCGCTTGTTGCCTCCTCAGTACACCGCTGACAATGTTTCCCAGTCTTTCAAGCTGTACCATGCCACACACAATCTTTTACAGAATTTCAAGGAGACCATGCTCTCAGTCAGCGAGCCTCCACCAGGCATCACAGCTCCTAACTCGTACTACACTCAGGTCCACCAGCTGCCTCCGTTCTTCCAGTTGCCAGACCGCACACAGATCAACTATTCAGAAAGGGAGACATCAACGCTCTTAGAGGCTCTTTTCGTGCCACACGTATACAAATTGCCAGACGTTCCTATTCCCGACCCAGCCTTCGACAAGGCACACACACACGGTATCTCCAACTTGGTTTTGTTCGCCTTGAAGAACTTGGAGTCGACTATGGTGCCTGCTGGCAACGACCCTGCTACTTCAAACAGCAATGCTCGTTTTAATGAGGTCTTGAGAACCCTCTTCACAAACACTTTGATCACCGGTGGAGGTGCTCTTCTCTCAGGCTTCTCCGATAGACTCTGCGGTGACATCAGCCGTACCGCTCCCACAGTGTTACCCAACTACATGATCACCTCGCAGTACAAGATCTACATCTCCCCATTGCGCAATTACCCACTGGGAGATATCCACGATTTGTACGATAAGAAGTTCGGCTCGTGGTTAGGTGCCGCCAACTTGGCCAGCATGCTCAACGACGCTGTGGAGGATGAAAACGGCAGTGCCAACATCGCCTTGGATAACTGGTTTATCTCCAAAGCCGACTACGAGGAGCTTGGTGAGGACTTGATTTTGGAAAAGTTCAAGTAATGTATGTATACCTGTATTATATCAAAAGTTCTGCTCCAATGTAAGCTCTACAATTCACAAGGATCGATATATACTTGTATTATAATTTATGCGTTCCGTCGTTTCCTTGTTCGGGTTCCGTGGATGATCTACGCCTTCCAAGAAACATACTTGTTGTCATACTTCGACGCCTCGCCGTGCAAGGCCAAGGCTCTGTTCACCTTCTCCTCTACACCCAACTTGTTGTTGGTCACGGTGTTGAAGTGTCTAACCACCTCCTTTGGAGTAGGCAAGTACTTTCTGTTCAGACCGTCCTGGCCGGTGATGTAGTTCTCGATTTCCTGGTTGGAAGGTAAGCCAAAGTTGAATGGGTACTGGTGGAAGTCAACACCAAAGAATCTCTTCAAGAGAGGGCTCTCAAGCTTGGCAGTATGGACAGATGGCTCCTGGAACTTTCTGACACGTTCAGCGTCGTATGAGCTCCACTGAGGGAAGAATGGCTCCTTGATCTTGTCAATGAGCTTGTGCTTGACACCCTTGACGAAGTCGTTTTCCTCGATCTTGTGGTTGACCATGTTGGTGGCAGAGACCATCTCCAACTCCAACTGGGCACGGATCTTGTTTTTGGCACCCTTGTTCATCAAGTCAAAGGCGATATGCGTAGATGTGGGGGACTTGGCCGACAAACGGTCGTAGGTCTTCTTACCAAACTCGGTGTTGGAGTACAAGAAAACCTGCAAAGCGTCGTCGAAAGTAGGCTCGGAGAAGGCCTTGTTGATCAAGGTGATCTGCTCCTCGGTCAAGTGGAACTTGTAGTTGTCTGGCAACTTGTTCTCGGTGAACTCCTCAATGGCCATGTTCACCTGGATGAAGAAGTCCTTCTGGTCTTTCAAAAGGGTACCCTCGGTTGGGGTGTTGTTGATCACAGGAGGCTTCAAGTTGGACAAACGCTTGACCAATTGAGGGATTCTCTCGGAAGGAACAAAGTGGGTAGCGAAACCGGCCTGGTAAGCGTCCAAGCCGCTCAACACCTCACCAGTCAAGGCGTAGTAGTAGCCGAGCTTGTCGTCCAAACGTGGCAAAAAGAAAGTGGTACCCACGTCAGGGAAGAAACCAATGTCCATCTCAGGCATGGCCAACTTGGTCTTCTCGGTAGCAATACGGAAAGGAGCGTGGACAGACAAACCGACACCACCGCCCATGGTGATACCGTCCATCAAGGAAATGTATGGCTTGGAGTAGGTGGCAATGAGGTAGTTGACATTGTATTCCTCCTGGAAGAAGTTGGAAGCGTAGCCTGGGTTGCCCTTCAAGATCTCCGAAGCACACAGAGCAACGTCACCACCGGCACACAAGGCCTTGGGGGACTTGGAAGTCAAAATGACCATGGAAGCAGCCTCGGATTTGGCGTACTCAGACAAACGAGGACCAATCTTGGTCACCATGGAGGTGTCCAAAGAATTCAATTTCTTCAATCTGTTCAAAGAAATGACGCGAGCCAAGTTCTCATTGTGGAACAAGACGTCGTCGGCGGCGTAACCTGTGGAAGACATTCTTAGTTGTGTTATAAAGCGAGAGGAAGAGACCCGTTTATAGCAGAACATTGGGCAGGATTGTGGGACTGTGGGAGTTATAAGGCGGAGGGGTCCAATAGCCGAGAGACTGTGAAAATTTTCGCGCAGCCCCTGGGGTTCCCCACAAAAAAAAGAACCTTCTTTTATGGCTGCAAATGCAGATAGGAGAAGATGTAGAGCTTCAGGTTTCGTCAATTGACCCTAATTCTTTTTCGATTTTTGCTTGTGTGTTGTTTTGACAAGCCTGTGGTAGGCCTCGGTCTGGATCCCTTGCTCGCGAGTATCCGTGGATACAATTGTGTAGGAGCCTTTGCAGCCCCTCAGACTTCTGACTCGGAAGCACCAGCCTTTGTTCAAAACTCCGATCTGTCTCGATATACCCAACATCCGCCCCGCCTTTGATCACTCGACCTGAACAATACATTAGGGGCAGGTCAAGCCGACGGAATGGCTGCGAAATCTCCACAGTTCAGGAAAGGCATTAAGGTTATCGGGTGTAGAAGCTTGGCTGGGTGCAAAACAGGCAATAGCCGAAACCAGATCTGGAATTGATAAGGGCTATTGCCGGGAGATATATTTCTCGTAATTTATTCATGGAAATTGATTTCCCCCGTCTTCATATTGCCAGCACAGTTGTCTCAGACAATGAGGAACCAGCCCACCCAGCCAGTTGTCCATTTCTGGTCAAACATCACCTGCTCCTCCTAATTCAATGCAACACTGTCTCATTGCAACGAGTGTGAGGAAAGTAGAGTACACTCCTCTCGATCCTCGTCATGGGGCTTCGGAAGCTTGTACTGGTAGAATGTCCCCGTGTGGTAGGAGGCCAACATCAACACACCCAGAGCACCCAAGCCAATTTCTACGTTTTTGTGAGACACGGGCCCGTTTTCTCCAAGCTTCACATATGCAAACAGGCGTCTGGGCGGTTCCCAGATCAAGTTGTCAAAGTAGTCCTTGTAAGGAAGCTTCTTGATAAGCAGCTTAGTGTAGGGATTGTTGAGAAGCTTGCTGGGTCTCCGAAGACGCGAGAAGTACAGCTTGTCGCCTTCTTCTTGTTCAGGCTCCTCTGGCTGCTTCAGTATTAGTAGATTGGCCAAGTTCTCGTTGAGATCCTCCAGGGACGAACGGTTGCTTTGGTCCTCGTCGCTCAGTTCCGGCTGAGGCGTTTCAGGGCCTATTTTGAAGAAGTGGATGGTATTGCTATCTGATCCACAGCCCAATACGCTCGAGTCCACGCTGAATGTGAGATTGGTCACTCTGGTTAGGTGGTGGCCACGCCGGAGGTTTGTGATATGTGTGATGTGAAGCTTGCCAAGGTCGTCAAGAAGATCAAAATTAAGATGACAGACCCTGATGATCGTGCCTTTGGTTGAGGCAGTTGCAACTGCTTGGCTATCTCTCGATAAAGTGATTTTGGCAATGCTCGAGTCGTGGGCCTTGTACAAAAGCCGTGGCTTCAAATTGATCGTATCGTAAATCGCCACCCAGCCGTTGGAATCCTTTTGTAAATCCTCCAATGTAATCGTCTCCTTCTTTGC